CTTAAGAGGCAAGGTGTAAACACCTGCTGCCTCGGCAATGGTGCAATTTCAGAATTTAATTGAATGTAAAACCTGTTCGAGGATCATTGGTTTGTAGAAAGGAGCTGGAGTCTCCCACTTAGAAATAAGAATACTCACTTTTGTGTCATTGGTATTTTAATGAAACTGTCATATTGACTCATTATCCTTGTTAAGGCAATAATCAAATTTGTTTCGACTCGTTGAAAGAAACGTTACAACATACAACATCAATAGTGTAACCCTAAAGAATTGTCTTCCCGTTTGTACTAGGTTCATTTTAAAATCGAAATTTGTCCATCATTTTATCATTGTGTGCTGGGTGTTTATTGCAAACAATGAGAAAAGGGTCATGTCAAATTTGTTTTAAACATCTCAAAATTCAAATAGAATTCTTTGCAAGCTCAAATAAATTCTACACCCATTGTTATTTGCTAATAAGAAAGCTCTCTTGTTAACTGTGTTTAACAGAACACTTTGTGCAAGGGTACATACTGTATGCATAGCGAAGCATATTAACCCTTTGCATTCGAAAGTTTTTCACACGAAATATTCAATATTTTCTAACGAGATATAAACAACATTTTATGAAACTAACTAATGAGAAAGCATACATAAATTAAGAAACAAAGACACTTTATTCCAATATTTCACATATGCAATGTTGCATTATACAAAGCTTAATATTATATATAAGGCTTTATAATTTTGCTACATGAAACGAGGTGGAAACTGAGAGACACCTCTCGAGTGTAAAGGGTTGAAATATAGGATTCTATTTGGTAAATCCAGTTTCTCTGTTAGCAATCAAGCTACTACTCTATTCTTGAACAAGAGACAGGTTAACAGATTGAAATGAAGCAACTATTCTTAAAGAATGAACAGGATCTATGTGAAATGTCCAGTTATGGAGGTAGCTTTGATAATTGAGCTTATTTCAACTTAAAACTGTTTAATATTCTTGTAAAATAGCCTGCAAATATCCCCGAAACAAGTTTTTTTTCGATACTGCCATTGTAATCATCATCAAACACAAAACGAAAAATATGTTATATCGAACAAGAGAACAGTCGAGGCGAAAGAGAAATTTTGTATGAGCGATCTGTGGTGAAATTCTTCTATTGATAGAAGTATTACTAGTACGGTAATTAGCCGAGTATTAGAGAAATGCAAGAAAACTGAAACATTTGTGCCTTCAATAAAATTTAGTATTTTAAACCTTTCACAAGAAAAACAAAACCCCTTTATAAAATTTGTGATGGGACGTAGTGAAGCAAAAAGGTCTAAATAAAGTGGATAAGAAACGATAGAAATATTGTAAATATTTTATATAGAGTTAACGATCGACAGTCTGATTAAGATTAATTATCGACGAGGACCTTTACGAACAGTTGTCGAGTCTTCGATAAGCTTCGAGTATTCTTAACGCTGTTATCCTGCGGCGAAGAAACAAAGTTTCTCTATTTAAATTGAATCTTATCAAAAACTCGGAGAAAACTGACAAAATTTGGTTAATCAACAGCAAACCTCGCAAATCTGATCACAGACAATATTTCAAACACTTCTATAACAATTAAGTTCAAGTAACCCATTCAGAACTTCTTTTTCTTATTTTTTTTACTTTAGAGAGGAAGCAATATTTAACACATTCGCTACTACGTATTGTATATTCATGACAATCATGTTAAATTTTAACACATGAGAAACAATGATAACACATTGACACTACAGTGGAGCATCAATTATTCAAACTAATTGAGATCAACGTCATTTGAAAAACTGAATTGTTCACATAATTAAATTTACTTATATTTGCACCTTACATCTTATGTAATTTATATTACGCAAAATATTAAATTAATTTTTGAAGAAATTTTTTGCAGTAACAATACACATTTGTTATATGCACTGAAATTAGAAGGACTTATTTCAAAGATTTGGTAGTTTGGTTAACTGACCCTTTACTGTACAGTACAATCTGTGAAAACAGTTTTCAAAATAATCAGTGGCGGTGAACGTGTTAATTTAATATTAAGTATACTAGATCAAAAGTTGCACATATCAATGTATTTATTAAATTCGTGACGTGCAAAATCATTTTTCTTATTATCATTAATATTATGAAGTTGAATGGGTTAAATGAAAATTGAACTACAACGACTCATAACTTAAATAGCGACAGAGACCAGATCTAGCCAGTATTTACAACAAAAAAGGATTCTGCGGGCGAGCTTCGATCTTTCTTTTTAATTCGTGCCGTGTTATTTGTGTTTGATCGAGTTTCAATGCTTATCTGCATAATTATGACGACGAGTTGAACAATAAATTGAAACGGCACCGATTAAAATTAAGAGATTCGCGAAGTAAATAATACTGTAAATAAACGAGAAATACAGAATAATATTTTGTTGCGACGAGTGTATAAGAAACGAGGGAAAAAGAGTTATAGGTGGGACGATCGTCAGATCGAAAGTGCTAGACTGTGAATTCGTAGTACCGACTTAAACGGAAGATCATCAAATAAATATATAAAACTATTAATTATACATCTTGTTAAAACGTAATTAATTTACAATTCGATTAAGAAGACAAATAATATTTATAAAGTATTTGAAACTTAATCAACGCACGCTGTCTTCCGTTTGCTAGAATAAGGTAATCGATCGTAAAACAGAGGAAACGATTTATTAATATTTGTTTGAAAATCATGGCAATATTTGAACAATACTATAGAAAGGGGGAGAAGGAGGTAGCATTGCAATGATAGAATTCAGGATACAATAACAAAAACTCAAGTAAACAATTATATCCATCCCATATGATTTCACGTTAGAGTTCTAGCTCATTGATATTGGTTTATTGTTTATTTAACACTAAACGTATCGGCACTTTATAATAACCTATTTCTACCGTAATTAGTCAAATAATTGATTACAAAATAAGGGTAAACGAGTTAGGCGATAAATTTTTCTTATTGAAAACATACACAAAAGGAGAAACAAAAATTGAAAAACCGATTAATTGGGCAATTCGGTCGCTGCACGTTTAGTGTTAAAGAATTCGGGAATTATGAAATTCTACTGATTCGTGAATACCATTATGCGCTGCGTGTATTTCAAACGATGTCGCTGAATTAATTGTAAAGACATATTTTATTTCTGATTGCGTAATATATCATATTTTTGCCTGAATACGTCATTGCGATATTTACTTCCAATATATTGGAAAACAGTTTGTACATCAATTAAAGAGCTCAAACGGGATAGAACTATTGGTTTTGACTCATAAATAACTTTGGCTAATAAAAATTTAAAATTAACTGATTACTAATTAAATGCCAATAATGATAAGGAAAATCCTTTTCAATTGGAATACCGAATCATATAATGATAATAAATGTGTAACGCATTAGTCAATTGCGAAATATTTTGAACCGATTTAAATTGAAGAACCAAACCAGAAGATATTTATGACTCAACTTAATAATTAATTATAAATTGTCGAACAGAAAATTTTTAACGAATAGATCCAGGCGGAATAGGTTAATTTATCTCACCGAAAATATTGTTCTGTATGTGTCTGTAGCATTCTTACTTTAGATTGTTGTTTTTTAAGAGACAGGCGATCTACGAAATTGTTATTTTTATAAGTATTCAATCGTAGAGCCGATTGATCGATAGAAAGACAAGTTGCGCGACTGTAATCACAAGGACATTTCATATTCCCGATACAGACAGATGGCTATTTAAACGCTATTAGAGGGTAGTTTTATACGTACATGATCATTCAGAAATAAACAAATTTTTACAAAACACTGTGTTCTTTCCTCCAATTCTTTGCAGTTTCCATTATGAGAATTGAAACATGGACCAACGTACAAATTTTGACTATAAAAGTATTATGACCCTCTTTATTTTTAATTACAGGAAAAAATGTTTAACATATAAGTTGTTTAATTTCAAAGTAGAAGTACGATTTAGTACATTCGCTTCCTAATATCATATCTTCGATTTCTTTAATGTTATATTTTTACTTTTAAAATGGTACGAATGTTTTTGATTTATGTTTTTTACAAAAAGAATTAAAAACGTAGTGAATATATCCCGTAATTTCGTGTTAATATTTTAAATTATTCACGCTAATAGTTTTTCTGTGCAAAATATGTAAACACAATTTTCTTTACTTTCTAGTGAAAATTTCTTCTAAAGGCATTACATAATGTCTGAAAAATGGTTCTAGATATTTACAAGTTTGTAATTTGATAAATGAAAATCAGTTAGGGGCACCTGATAGATCGCAGGAAAATATTAGAGAACAGAGATCTGAGAACTATATTTCCGTATTTTGAAATGAAAAAACCGAATTATTTTTCTCCCAAATGATAAACAGTGATACCATCAAAAGTACACAAATAAACGCAAGTTCACCTTTGTGCTTTATTGACTAATATTTAACATCGTTACATTTTATGAATGATATACAACAGTATATAAAACGTACAATATATCACTTGTTCAAGTCTTACAAAAATATATACAGCAGTCTTTCAATGAACATTGAAAAATAATAAGACTACAATAAATAAAATAAGGCACAGGTTATCACATCATCGTAGTTTAGTGCGTTTCAACTGAATCAACGAACAAACAGGCATTTGAGAAATATTGTTTGCGGCATGTTTTCAGTTACAATAAGCAGAACAATATGTTCCTTCATCATAGAACCAAATACTTTTTCAGAATTGGTCATGATACAAAAGTACAGATTGCATTCAAGTTTGTATATACGTTTAAATTACACGGACATCGATAAGTACACATATAAAAAACACCAACATTTGTATTGTCTTTTGCATTGAAATATGTTTACTCTTAAAGTCGGTATTATATAAAAATCGTTTACACTTTACTGGCACTGTGAATTCAAAATACGACAGTATCAAAATATTTGTATCTTAACTATCTAAACAAACTGCAAAGTAAGACAGTATGCACTGTCGATCGCAAAATGATCAACCAAATTTTGACCTGCCAGAAAGTCATTTTACTTTTATTCGTTTAGTCTGCCAGAAAGTTGTCTATCGCGTAAACGCTTGCATTTGATTCGATAAACTGTGTCATTGCAATCACCGTTAACTCGATGGTCGCAGCGACCAAGTGCGCAAGAGTTCGTATATTGTCGCGAACTCTGAATCTAGTGATCGCTGGCGACCCAGTGTTCAGCATAACGGCTCATAAGTAGAATAACAATCGTCAATACGAATCGTGTATATACAATAAACAATTTCAAGTAACCTTCTTCAATTTTGGCATTTTTTTCGGACACCATTGGACATGGAGATTCCAGTGTTTCTCTTGGCACCGTACGTCACAATAGAAAACCAATTCGCAACCGAGACACTTGAATTTCGGCGCGATAAGTCCGCAATTTGAGCAAGTCAAATTATGCAAACTGTTAGGACTATGACTTAGTTTGCCCAAGTGCGGTGTATCACAGTTTCGAACTTCATTTTCAGGATTGCTCTTAGTAATTTGTGGAACTAAAAGCTTATGCTGTGGCGAAGGGACAGCAGTAGCCATTTGTAATTGACTGTCGCTCGTAGTGTTTGACTGAATGAAATTGTTGGACGTTGAAATGAGTCCGAGTTGATCGAACAGGAAATTCTGCATCTGCCGATACTTAGTGCTATTCTTATGGACGTTTCCAGAGAATCCAGAGTCTCGCGATTGACTTGTTGAGCGAGGAATATCTGATTTGCTAGAGCTCGCCACGTTAGGTGTCTCTGGATCCATAATGTTTGGTATAGCCGTGTTTGATTCATCATTATTGCACGGCAACGGGTCGCGTTGCCTATCCAAGGAGGCTGCTGCGACAACCGCAGCCGCTGCTGCAGCAGCTACTACATTGGGAATCATTCTGTTTCGAGAAAATTGATTTTTCTTCGAGTATCCAGGCAAAGGAAGTCTGGATAAAGCTTGCTGCGACGAGGACAAAGATGAAGGTGGCAAAAAGAGGGATGGCAAGCTAGCTACACCAACGTTGCTGCCACTAATACTCCCTCGAAGGCGATCAGGAGGTAGAGCGGTCGAGTGTTGCAGATTGTTCATTATAGGTGAAGAATACTTCATTACAGATTCTTCTGGAGGAAGGAAACATTTATCTACATGTTGCAACGGTCGAAGGCCTTCTTGCATGGGAAAATGGTACCCTGACAGTGCTGCTGGATGTAGCCGAGAATGGTATGAGTAAGGACTGTAGGGACAAATTGTTGGATAATTGAAGGCTGCACTGTTGTAGGAGTCAATCTAAAAATTAAGGATTATTATATTCTAGCATATTGTATCATATAAAAAAGATATAATAATTATACTACGAGTATTCACATTACATTGAATATCATAAACATTAACCACTTTCCTATTTTAGGACAATGTACATTTAATATCAGTTCCTTATGAATTTTCTGTTCTTATTTATAAATATTTGTTAATAGATTTAAAGTTTGTGACAAAGGCATTTTTGGTAAAACACATTTTCTCTGGTGTAAGAGGATGTTATTTAAGTTGCAACTTAATATTTTAGTAAAATTTTATGGAATTCTTATTTTAAAAATTATTTAGTTATAATTTTTAGTAAAATCATCAATAGAGAAAATGAATTTCACTGTTCAATAACTGTATGTAGATTTTCTCTACTTACAGCATAGTTGTTTCGATAATATTGATTCGTTGGAATAGGTGGATAGATGCCAGGTCGGAAAGGAGGAACCATTGGAACTGGTTGCGGAAGTGTTACAGATGCAACATGTTGCAACAACTGTTGTTGTCGCTGTTGCTGGTGATGATAGAACTGCCATCCCTCAGGACTATATTCAAGTTTTGTATCCATAATATCATTAGATGCATTGGGGGCAATTATTTTCTGTCTTTCAGTCTCGGGTACCTGTTAAATTTTTCGATTATTCAATATGTATGACACACAAATGCGGCTTCGTAAAATATTTAAATTACTCTTTCTTGGATACGATTTTCAGTTGTTCCATTAACTGAAACAGTTCCCATATTCTGTAACTTGGACTTGGATTTCGAAGATTGTTTCTTAGACATTCGAGCTACCCAGTTACCCAAAGTTGGGAATTGTTCAGTAATGGTATAGCTACTGGTGTTCTCCTGAGCAGCATCAATAGCTGGCTTTTCTGCTTTGTAATGTTGTTGTACTCTGTTAATCAAACATAAATATTAATAATATGATTATTCAATTACAATATTATATGAATGAAGTTCTAAGAGAATTAGCATTTCACATCGCTTTTAATATAGCTATTAAGACCTAGGTTAGACCTAGGTTATTCATGTATATTCAATGTTATTTAAAGATTCAGTGAACTTATAATTACCTAACCCGGATCTAACCTTTATGAAAAGAACGGATTCGCTCCTACAGTTACCATGTATCAAATTCAAAGCACATTACATATATTCATTAAAGACCTTAATAAACGATTTTAGAGTTTTTAACCATATTATTCAATATCTTTTTACCCTGATCACTAGATTCTAAAACACATATATTTAGAACTTTGTGTAAAATTATTTGAGTGTATAGAAAAATCTCATTTAGAACATATTAACAATTTTGTCTCTTACGTAATGGATTCCTGTCTTGAAGGAACTTCTTTCATAAATTGAATTTGAATGGATTGACTAGAACTCGAAGTGACCTATTGAAAAAATAATCCATTACTATACTTTTTTTTTTGTGCTGGAAAGAAATGTTTTTAGTTTTCTACATTGTATGATCTTCAATCGATCCCACTAACTTTTGTAAATGGTTCCTTCTGACTATATTCATAAGAATCGGATTTCAAAACTTGTTTGCCACTGGTAGAATCAAATACTTTATCGCCGGAAACATTAGCTGCTGCTTCCTGACCACTTATTACTGAGCTGATAATTGGCCCAGAATCAGGGAATTTAATGTTATTAATCTTCTCTTCTTCGTGGATCACTAATCGACCCGGCGAAAGCTCCTCCTCCATTTCATGTTTCTCTTTCTCCTTTTTTTCTTCCAAATGATTATTATCAAGAAGTTGTACGACATTGTTTGAAAAATTCAAATACCTTTTGTCGACATTAAAATCATCCACTAGTACGTTCAGACTATTATTTGTCGTTTGTCTAGATTCTTCTAAACTAATTGAAGTTTTTGCTAGAGAACTATTTCTAACGGGATCAGTGGAAACATCGTTCATAGGCCAGATTTTACTTTCAGAAACTTGGAACTCTTCATCCTGACCGGACAAAAGGTTCAGGCAAACGCGGGGTAAGAGAGGAGGACTGTCCCTAATCTCTTCGGGTGGTATATCTTCGTAGCTTACCGAAGATCGGGGAGACAATTTCGGTGGTTCAGGAGAAGGAACTAGAGATACATTTTTCATAGATACATTATCAGTTTCATTTAATCCAGCAGAAAGATATTCGACTTCCGACGGACATCCAAGATCGCTGTTAGCATTAACATTAACCCCTTTTTCAGGGGTTGAAAGTGTCGCAGACAGTTTGCTGTGCAATTTCGATAGATTTTCAATCTGTTTCTGATACCGGTTCATTATCTGCCTCAATCTAGTATTTTGCTGGGAGCTGGTGTCATTCGCCATTTGTTTAGCTAAATCGGACGCTTTACCCCTTAGTTCTCGGAGCTTCTGTTTCAATCTATTGCGCCGATATTTCACTTTGTAGTTATCGTTTTTTAGGGAATTCAGGTTTGCCTCTTTTTCATGAAGTGAGCTGATACAAAAAGTCGTAGAATTTGGATTTGACCGCGAATGAGACGTCTTGTCTCTGATGACCTTGTAATTTGATTCGTGTTTGGTTCTTGTCGTGATCTGAGAATTATTGTACCTTTCTGTTTCTGCAAAATATAGAAAAACGAGTTATGATTATAACAAAAAATTAATATTTTGTACTGGTAATTAGATTTTCAGCAATATTCCATCATGTAAATATTCTTTAATGAAATTTATTCCGATTAAAAATATGTTCTTTTCGGACACAGTTTATTAATTTATTACCACCCCAGTTATAAATACGTATTAATTATGTAATGTTTATTTAAAAGAAACTTCATTTTACCACACATTAATGTTACAAATTGTGGCATTGGAAGTTTATGATAATTATTACATCTTTTGAAATTGTTATATCAGAGAAACTTTATTGTTTCTTAAAAAAACACCTAAGTATCTCCGTTATGTAAAGCGTTATAAAAAACCTTCTAAACAACAAAGTTACACTATTCAAGAGGGTAAATTTAATGGTAGAGAAAAACGTTTTTTCCAAGGTCAATATCAAGTTCAAATTCTCAACCCCTTTAAATTTTTTAATTCAGAACGTCTGATTGAAATCAGATTGAAACCTCTTATCGCGATTTTGACATAAAGTTAATTCCGTTTATTCTTACCCATACGTATAATTTTTTTCAACCTCAACGGAGGCACCACCTTCCCGCAGCTTTCCTTCCTAGTAGTCGAAACTGCTTTGGTACATTTATCGCCGCACCGATTACGGGTCTCGTTGCTATCGGTCGAGCTGCCGAATGTCTTTATGAATTTTTTAACTGAACTCTTCAAGCCATCCTCTTTGGCCTGGTTCGAATTCGTCCCCTGCGACTTTTTCTTTCTCTTGTTCTCCTTGCTACCGGCTTTTCCCTGATCGCCATCGTCGTTGATCTTCCTCTTCGTTCCGCCGAAACTTGCCACGTTCGTAATCCGCGGAGCTACGTAGTCCTTGGTACACAAGGAAGTCCTTAACGATGACTCCACCGTGTCTTCATTCACGTTGTTTCGATTGTGAATTGTCTTATTCGCGATCGGTTCCCCCGACTCCAGCTCGACCACGTCCAGGTTGGCTGACTTCGATAGAAACACTAGCGATGGACCATTCTTGCGGAACGATCGCGAGGGCAACGGAGCAGGGAGAATGGGCAAGGAACGATTCGGTTGCACTGGAATTAAGTATGGCCCACGATCCCGCAGTGCTGTCGCCAGACTTCCGGTCCTCGCGTTCTGCGATTTGCTCGAGCTGTCTGCTATCATGATCCGGGGCTCTGAAATCATTTGTTAATCCTTAACCACTTTAACACTTCGATTGTCGTGTCATCCGACATTCTTTGTGATACCATCTTTTACATCAACTTAAACATTGATTTTCTTGGTAACATATCGAACGAATTAAATTTTGTTGAATATATGAAGTATAAGAAAGATAATAGAGTAATTGTTATGAAGAATCTTGACTTCTTAGCTTCTGCTTTATTAAGAAATCTGTTTCAACTGCGTAAGAGTTTTGACGAGTGTACATTTAGCAGTCAAAATGTTCATGGGTGCCATTTTCTCCTAGTGGTACCTGTTTCCCACCTGGTGAAGGTTTTTGATCCGACGATAGAAATGGTTGATTCTTGGTAGAATATCATGTAATTGACGTGCAAGTTAAATTTTTGAAAGAGAAACATTTTAATTTACACCCGAAATTATTTAAACAACCTCTTTTTAGCGACAATAAGCTAATTTCGTACCTTTTTTCACGATTACTTTCTTAAAAAATGGTCAAGAAAAATTCAAATTACAAACGAGAAAACATCAATTGTAATAATAATTGTATTCATTATTTATACAAGATAATCGAAGTGGCCATTTTTCTTTTAATCAACCTACTACGCTTCCATCCATATTTAACCGATTAATAGGTTGACGATAGATAAAGTGTTAAGTATACGAGCTGGTCATTACATGTATCTAATGTAATCGTAGCCTAAGTGTTAAGAGTAGATAGCCCCATATCGATTTTTCGAAGGGAAAATATGGCATACAGTTATTCCTGAGAAGTTCGATTATAGTTGCGAAACTTTGCAGACTTCATAATAGTGACTCATGTATACGTTGTACCTTAAATAGACGGTCTGCAAGATAAATTAACTAAAGAAGCTGTTAACACTGACGTTTTATATAAATTAGGAACAGGCAAAGAAGCGAATATTTCAAGTCCAATAAAATGCAATCAAACTTTTATTTTAATAGAAAATTATGAATAATGGAAAATGTATTTCAATAGAAAATTATGAATAATATATAGCGAGAAGACCTCGGAGTGCAAAGGGATAATTTTAACGGCAGGAAATGGGGGTCGGTGAAACAATGCGGTCATGAAAATATAATAACTATAACTATTATGAAAATGCTCAGAAAGAAAAGTAATTTTCTAAAAAACGAAACAAGAAAGATTCTCAAGTAATGAATTAGAAAATTCGATTACATCAAAAAATTTTATCGAAAAAAGCGTAAATGAAAAGAGCACACGTAGTGAAAAGTGTAATGTAAAATACGCACAGTCCATAACCCATGCATATACGTGTTGTAGAATTATGAAGCAAAGGTGTGGGTGGCTGCATCCCCTCACTGTAAAAATGCTAACCCCACTTATACCAATCTTTATCATATAAGTAAGTAAAATTCTTCTGTATACGGTAGCAGCAGCCTTCAATACTTGTTATATTATATTATTATATTATTATTATATTACATTATCATTACTAGATAAACTGTTATATTTAACCCCCTGTCATATTATTTCCTTTGCTATTAAACTCATGTATGTAACTTTATACTATCAATAATTTGGAAAAAGCGCAAAACAAAGTTCCATTCCGCTATTAGTATAAATCTACTTTGAAGAAAATAAATTAGTAACAGCAAAATAGTTTTTTGCTTTGATCTGTGGACAATGGACAACATTGATTTTTATTAAATTAATCTAGAAATCTACAATCACGAGTCTCACTCGTCGTATGGCATTGAGGTTAAGAAAAATTTAAATTCGCAGAAAATAATTTGTTTAACAATAAGTATTCTTCTACAATAATTCAATAAATATTTTGCATTTCTTGTATCTACGGGTTATGCACTTTGCATATTTTATATTGCGCACTTTTTTCCTGTCCCCTTTGTTCTGGCTATGAAAAAATTCATTTTCTTACCTATCACAACGCTGGTGGAGCGATTATCGATTCCCTTTTCTTCTTCGTTGATTTCAACCAAAGGTTTTACATCACAGAAACGCTTCGGGATGGTTTGCTTCCGTATAATCTTCTCGTCGGTCGTTAAATCAACGAAAATAGGTTTTTCACCATCAGCCGATTTGGAAATCGTATTTTCCACCACCGATCGGTCATCTTTCCTTTTTATCAGTTCATCGATCTTTTTCAACCCGTTTTTCTTCACGCCCGTAGCTTTCCTGATTCCTGGATCCCCCTGGATCTCGCTAGAACTGGTGATCAGGCAGACTCCTTGCTCCTCTTCAAAATTTAATTTTGATAAAGTAAACACTACATAAATGGATACTAATTAATACGCTGACTAGGATGGTGGTCATCGGTGACCGGCCCTTCAGAATTGTTTGAAAACAATCACAATATATGTTCATATAAGATGATTAATTAATTTTGAAGAGAAGTGTTTAACCCCTTGCCCTATGCTTTATTTGTTAACTATGATAGATACAACTACTTTATCGTTAATAATTTCTCAGAAAAAGAAGAAACTTTGTTAGGTAGCTAACAAGTTTTATTAGGAGTTTTCAATTGATGGAAATGCAAATACTTTGCCAAATACGTGGAAACAAAAGAAAATGTACTTACATTACTTTTAAGCAACCGCCTAAAACTGACTTTTATTGAACTCACTTGACTGATTTTGTTAAAAAACGTTGTTTTATAAAAGCAAGGGAAGCATTCGATGAATTGCAAGTAACCCTACTTCAAGACTTACTAAATAAGAAAAGAAAGAACATACAAAATAAAAAACAACGTGTTGCTAAGGCAAAAGTGGGAGTCTTTTAACCAAGTGTTAACCCTTTGCGATTATATCAATTTTATATACAAATGAACGTCATCATTTGTCTAGAAATTTTAGACAAATTTAATACAATAATAGATCTCCATTTCACATAGATCTTTTTAAAAATAAGTATTATAATTCTGTAATTTGTATTTATAATTTATACTTTCATACTCAAATTATTTTCATTTTATACGACCAGAACGATGAAAGTGTTCTGTCAGAGATAGTTCACGTTACGACCACAAAAGGTTGATACGAACAGTCCAATTATATAACAATTTCTACCGTTTTCTCTGCAGCACAGGTGTTCCACGTCACAATCACCTTCTTCGCCCTTCTCTTCGTCTTTCGTTTGTTGTCCACTCGACGATCCTCTTTGATAAAACGACGGTGTAGTAATTTCTGTGAATACTTCCATCTTCTTGCCGATTATATCGTCATCGAATGTCGATCCCGAATAATTCGAAACGTGGTTCACACTTCCTCTAACTTCTTTTATCCTTCTTCGAAGGGTCACTCAACCGACAAACACGAGATTCTTTCATTTTCTTTTTCCTTCAACGAATCCAGGTATTTATTCCAAGGTGAATTCGAATGGAATTTAGCGTCGGATCAGATAACCGCGTCGTCAGTCCGCGGTCTGTCCATGTTGAAATAAATATTTTCAGGAAATTGTAGATATTACAGTACAGTTACTGCGCGGGACAAACTTGCGACTACAGTTAGAAACATCGGAGCACAATAAAGTATAGAGAAAACGCTCAGAGAGGAAAACCGAAGGGGAAAGCCGCAGATCGATGGAAAATTGTCCCTGTCGCGGAACCCATTCGCGTTTCCAATGTACAATTTGTTCTTCGAAGATTCGTTAACATTTTCGTTTACCGGCTCGGGCTCTTTGTATGAACACATACACGTTGAGACATGTTTCTAAATGTTTATCATAGATCGTAATAATAACGACATCTGTAAAAGTGATGCTGGAGTGCATTCTTTCGTTACGTGTCTACTTTTCTGACTTCGGTCGCCAATCATCGGTAAACATTAATAAACAATTTAACCCTTAACGATCCGGAAATATTTTAAGTTCGCCGACCACTTTTCGTAGAATAAACAGATAACGAAAATAAATGAACTACAAGGAATCGATATGGCACTTAACCAGTTAACTGCGTTTGACGAGTATACACGTCGTATTAAAGATTGAAATAATACTAATTCTTTCAACGATGAATTATCTATTTTTCCAGATAAACAGGTAATTCTTCTTTGTTCCGCTTTGGTTTCTCAATAAAATATACTCTAGATACATTTGTCCCGCGTTTAACGTATACACATTTCATTTTTTTTATTTTACTGCGCGCAAAACGAGAGATTTTTCCAACTTAATTCCACAGTGAACAGGTTAACGTGTTAAATGAGAATATACTTGTTAGCAATATTAACGATGGAAATAATCAATTGACTTTTTGTCACAATATACACGTCGTTTGACTTAATAAGTACATTAATTTAAATAGAATAACTTAAATTAAAATAAAAAATAACGGCATTAGACCGTTAAAGGTTAACAAATAATTTACTTATGAACGTTGATTTATTTTGGTGCTATAAATCAGCTGCGTACCACCGGTGGTACACACCGGTGTAAACGTGTTTTAAACAAGTTTCTCCGGGAACGTAACTCGTGTTTGCTACACAGTTGTCACTTCGTTCGAGCGCATAAATACACTTCAAGAAACATCCCTTTGTTTTTCAGAGGTACTTATCGAAAATCACGAGAACAATTTGTACGAAAATTGAAGTAGAGACACTCGATGAGGAATGAGGCGAGAGGATGAAAACATTTTATAACTGTGGAAATTCATGGGAATCGAATTGTCGCGGCGAACACATGACATAAAGTGTATCGAGACGCTATCGTGCGAAAAGTGAAGCCAGATAGCAAGGAATCTCGCACGCCGTGTATGTACAGTTGCGTTTGTTCCCTCTTCTAGAAAAGTTCTTATTAGAGAAACCCCTCGCAATTGGCCGACTAGAACGCACTCGTTTGGCGCAGACCGTGGGTACAATATTTACCAGCTAGACAACCAGGGAAACGAATAATTTTTTTCTTTCTTGGTATCGTTTTTACTTCAGTTGCTTTTGGATTGCAACCCCTCTTGTTCTTAACCGGTATTCACTAGTATGGTAAGAATGTGAACGGTTAACGAATTCGTGACCGGCAAATTTTTCGCTTTTCAACTCCTCATTGCTGATGGAAATGAAGAAAAACTTAAGTTAATTAGAAGTCTAATTATAGTTCTGACCTTGACACAGAGACAACATTTAGAAAATTTGTTTTGAAATATCAGCCTCGTAACGATCTGTTGTTCGAAAGGGAGAACTTTTCATTAAAGAAGTCGCAAATGGAAAAGAGCAAAAGAGTAAGATATTTTGCATAAAAATGTTTGGAAGGACGTGAATTCACGTCAACAGTTGTGAATGTGTTAAAATCTTACTTCGCAGGATAACAACTAAGAATACCTTTCTATAAGCAGCTCATTCGTCAAATTGGTTAACTCTACTTTAGAAATTTTTCAAAATTTTATCGTCGAAGCTATATATATATATTGTTTTTTGGCCATGAAAAAAAATAGTTTCTCATCACTTGCTATGAAAATATATTTGTTTATGTACCAATGAAGTGATATTTTTATACATTAGTCTTGCATGTATAATCAAAATTACAATAAGAATTACTTACTCTTAAAAATGTTTTTTCTTACAAATGTCCTACCCAAATGAAGATTAAAATGATTGCGTGAGAGATATATTCAATCAGTCAGCTACTTACGAATGATTTAACCTGTTCACCCTATACCTGCATTCAACTATACCAACAAAGCTATAGAAAACTGTCTTATTAAGCAGAATTACCCACAGATGCGTTATATTGAATAATCTATCATTTTGAAGAGGTAAGTTTATATGACAAAAAATAATTAATTAACTGTAACTTCTAACAGGTTTAAAGTAAAATGAATACTTCATTAATATTTTCAATATCCAATCATTTAAACTTATATTTACTAAGAAACCATGAGTTTGTTATAAACAATATAAAGTCACGTATGTTTAATGTACTATGTTTAATTTACTTTGTTTAAAATCATTCTGATCCACAAAAGGATTACAGTGAATATATTTTTAGCTTAATAAGATATTTAGATAATAATTAATAATATTAAAATAATAATAGTCCAACAATCCTTATAATAAAAGATTTAATAATCTTAATATATTAATTATTACCTAAATATTTAATGTCGTTTTTATTACGTTTACATTTTTCTTCATTAAATGATACTTGGCATTGAAAGCAAAGTCAAGAGAGAAGTTATTTTCACTATCACAACATAAATAATTAATAAAAGCACAATAAATACAAGTTAGGGTTAGTTGTCGTGATAATAAAAACTCAATTTAATCTTCAAAGATTTAGATATATAGATATATTCTTATATATAAAAAGATAGATATATTTTTTCCAAAAGAAATATTTATTTTTTAGTAATTCTATTTATTGCATAAGTTTTCAAATCAAATTTACACTGCAATATACTTACAAACTAATTTTTGATTGAATTATTACGTGCTACATGAACAAAACATGATATAAAAATTAGTAAGTAATTTTACAGTACTATATTTAATTAATTAATTATCTAAAATGTCAATATATAAAATTAATAAATTAATAGAATCAAAGTAATATTAAAATTTCTTATGTTCGTTAAAATCCTGATTATAATTATTATATACCCATTTGTTTAGAAGTTGTTCATGTCAATGTAGTAGCCAAGTTAAGTAAATATAACTCTGCCATATAAAATATATATGCAATATTGATCGACTTTTATATACTTCGATCGCTATTCATTGGTTAAATGCAAAAGTTCTCCCTCATATTCTCCCAAGTAATTGCTACCTTCTGTGTCCGATCACTCGTTACATAACAATTATTACCCGATGCTTCGATTTGATCATTTCCACCCTTCTTACAATTCCTTTGAAACAAATTTATAATCTGATAATTTCTTATTTATATAGATTGTCTTAGTTAAATAAATAATAGCTTTTAAACGAAAATATAACTGAAGGTCAAAACTAAATGTAATTACTGGACAATCAAAAATATTTATCGAAAAGATTTAATCTCGACGTTACCTTTATAAACTTTTACAAGATGCATGAAAGGAAATACTCAAAAAGACTTCTACTTAAACATCGTTATTTTACAATAAACATAATAAACTCTTTTAACCAATGAAATTATTTAAGGTAGATCCGTTTAAGAAGAACGATGCTTGACAATAATTGTTTCTACGACAACATGTGACCTGCATGTCACGCAAGTAATGTACCAACATCTTGTTAATTTATTTAATATTTTACTACAAGGTGTCAGATGAAATTAAGTAATTAATTAATTTCAGCTTTTATACACATATAAGTGTAAACGTATATACGCTATCATAACTCCAAAATATAAAAAAAGATCAATACTATAGCATTGCTACTTTGCTACTTTATACTTAGAAGTCGATATTTATTAATTTTACATACATTTTCTAATGCCACAAAAAAGATTCGGATTATATATTATTAAAGCGGAGTTCGATTTTTCATTTTGCTTCGACTGTCGGATCCAAGAATCAGGTATTCTGCAACACTCGGTCATTTATATTTTGCTTGAAACATAAATATTTAGTAAAGAGATGACGTGCAGCCACATGTGCATTTTCCCACCTGAGGAAAGCTAACGTGGCAGGGAAACTTGGCGACGATACGTATCCACGGACAGAAGGGGTGAATCACCCCATCAATGCGTTGCACGGTTATTCGTTGTCCGTCGAATGAAATAAAATGTTTCGGGCATCAGCTTTACCTGCGCCAAAACGCGCTGGAAGTAATAAAAACCGTTATATAAATATCTATGGAAAATAAATGAAACATAATAAATAGATATAAATATAATAAATAAAGAAATAGCGACAATTTTGTGGTCATTTCACCATTTTCATTTCCCGACAGCCTTTGTCCACGAAAGTTAGTCTAATAATGGTAAACTGCAATTTATTTTCAAAAAAATATAAACAATTTTATGTATAAATTTATTTAACTCCTTAATTATTGAAATTATATTTTTTTATGAATAACTAATATTATCTACTCTTCTTGCTGAATACGATTTTATTACATTCTTTAATTTTACAGTAACTCTCACATTTGTTCATATACTTTTTACACAACAGTTACGTTCAATACTTGATTATCTAACGCACATTTATTTATCTTCGTTATTTTTTTCCTTTCGTGTCCTTCTGTAATATATTTCCCTTAATTTCAATGGAAAATTTGAAACTTTGTACGCAATTGTGAAAAATAAATATAATATTCTTCCGTGAACAAATTTGTGAATCACTGTATATGAAAGTAATACTAACTGAATATTAGTATTAAATATAAAATAACCTTTAGGTATTCATGTTAAATATTCAAATGATGAAATAAATATATTTTGATGTATTAACAAATTAATACTACAGATATAGATGCGTCTTTTACAGTAAAGGATACGTTTACACGTACGAAGTGATCGGAACGTATCTCAGTTTATTATCGAACAAACAAACGAAACGATTGCTGTTTACCGTTTCGAAACAATTAGCGAACCTCTCAGTCGTTGACATCACTTTCTGCTGGCGGATACAACTATTCAGTTTTTTTATCCAATATTTTACAGACGTTCATATTGAAATATAATTTAATATATAAATCTACAGAACGTAAATTCGAATATAAATTCATTAATTCTATGAATATTTTTATTAAGTACAAAATGAAATAAAAACTTCACTAAACTTTATTAGACTCTTTACCCAGTTATAGAGAATTAATGATGACTATCCTTATTCTTTGTTTACAGATTTATCGTGTAACGAAACAGTGCTTTTTAAATAATGGTGCATAAAGTGAGCAAAGATGTCTCGAAAACGACTGCCGTGTGCAACGCATCCCTTGCGAGGAATCAAAAGAATTTAAAATTCAAAGAACAGGTTTGCACGAATCAGTCAAAAAAAGCCTGCAATCATGAATCGAGAGACTTGAATTATTGTTGCGTCCGTTGTAATGGGAAGGAGGTAGGATATACTGTTCGTTCGTTTTATTATTGCGAACATTTTTACTTATTCGTATATTTAAAGTAATGCATAATATTACGCTGCAGTTACAGAAAAACATGTAAAAGATAAGAATATTTTCTATAAGTAATGTTTTATTTAATATATCTGCATTTTATATAAATTTAACTTTGATCTTATATTTCTTTGCATTTATTCAAGACATGAAAATCATTACTTGTATTTATAATTGAAGCATAAATATAATATCATGTACAAATTAAGCTTTTAGAATAGGTATCATAGTACAAACATTTTATAAAATTAAAATTAATTTACAGAAACCACAAATTTCTGAAACTAATAGTTTCTCTAAATGCTTCTCAAAAAAAGAAGTAATAATATTTGTTATACTTTTTTGTTACCGTCATCCATCTTAACATTTTCGTAAGAAACTAAAAAATGGAAGAAGGATTCTGTAATGTTTAATAATTTCCGTGTATCTATATAGATCGATAAAAAATAAAATAAATATTCAACTAATAAGTTTTATTTTAGTACTGTAATATCAGTAGTAGATGACCAGTAGCTCTATAATTCAGACATTATTGTATCTGCGAAACCTGATGAAAGAAAATAATATTTTACTGTGTTACTCTTTTTATGCGCCCAGTTAAACAAAGAAAGAGTTAAAAACAAAAGAGTAAGCATGAAAACAACTCCAAAGAAAAAACCTCTTTCCACAAAAGTCTTGACAAAAGAAGAATATGAACAATTTCGGAAATGTAGTGGTTCCACAACAAAAGAGGACCACGTAACAGACCTCAAAGCAGAAGCAGAAGAGAGAGAAAGGCTTATAAAAGAGAGTATGGAGAGGAAAGAGGAATTTCGTAAATTAGACAAGAACAGGCCTCGTGAGAAAAGTGCAGAATTAATCGAAATCGAGGAAGAGGTCAGAAAAAGAACTCAACACGTGCTCGACAGAGCGCAGAACATGAAACTGGAACAAGAAGAAGAAATACAGAAATGTAATAGGATTATTTTGGAAACTAAATGCCGTGCCATTCGTGATGCGCAGGTGATTCAACAACTTAAGATAAAAACTTAAGATATAAACGTAAAACGTATTTAACGCGTTGCTCCTGTCCATCACGCAGTTAGCAGAGAAAAAACTCATTGAGATTGAGTTGGAAGAAGAGGACAAGCGTTTAAATGATATGATGGAAAATGAAAGAAGGTGGGCGATCAAAGAGGAACTTAAGAAAGAGCAAACGGAGGCAGCCAGAAAGCTAGAATTTGCTAACAGTTTGAAAGGTCAAATACGCGAAAATGAAGAACAAAGACTGTTGGAGTTTGCAAGGAAGCAGGAAGAAAGTCGACTGATTAACTTAAGCAATATTGCTTGGCAACAAACAGAAATTGCCAAGATGCGCGATAAGGAGGCTGAATTCGCTCGAATTCGACAGGAAATTGCTGAAGGAAATGAGCAATTAAAACACCTGAAAGCCATGGAAGAACAGGAAAATAAAATCATTGATCTTAGGTATAAATTTAATAATTTTTTTAAGAGCGATCCACAAGTTAATGCATTGATTCGTAGGATTCGACAATATCAAAGAGAAAAGCAGAACAGAGAAGAAAAACTAGCTGAAGAAAGAAGACAAGAAAAATTGAGAAAAGAGCAAGAGAAAGCGAAAGTGGCATCTCAGACGTTACGGCACCAGGACGCACAAGTATACTATTGTTTACATGAAATCATTTTATTCAAATCTAAAATTTAATTGTTTTTTATTTCTTAGGCACGAATAGATGAATTGAACGCTGTCCGGATTCAAGAAGAAGTAGAACGTGAATGGAGGCAAAAAGAAAAAGAAGAAGCTCTTAGACGAACGATAGCTCAGAAATTGCTGAAAGAGGAACGAGAGAAACAAATAAACAATAAACGAATAATGCAGGCGATTGAGATTGAACGAGAGCGAAGAGAATTTGAGAAAATTGTACGCGTTCAGAAAGAAGCTTTCTGTCGAGAGCAGAAAGAACTTGAGAAGAAACAGCGACAAGCTTTAAATCATAGAAGTGAAATACTAAAACAGGTTCTTTGTCTTCTAAATTAAAATTATTATAAAAGTTAAATTACAAAATAATATGATCGAATCTTTTTCATCAGGTGAACGAGAAGGAAAGAGAACGCATAGAGACTAGACAAAAAATGTTCGAGGAAGGCTTGGCACTTCGCACGGAGGCTGAAATACGCAAAAAAAAATTAAGAGAAGCAATGGAAAATAAATGCAATGAAATGAGGAATAATAAAGTACCTGACGTGTACATAAACGAAGTGAAACGAATGATGGAGAACATCTATTGAAAATAAGAAATTTACAGTTGCGATTAATTCGCTTATCATACACGTATATTTATAATTATCATATAAAAGTTGTAGACTACTATTTTCTTATATTACTTCCATAACATGACAACGTTCGGATCACGTTCAACAATATCTTCAATCTGTGCTGCCGATTGACCTGTACTGCAACAAATTTCGTCGAGACTATATGTTCCCGTGAAGTATTTGTACACCGGATTGCTTTTCATTTCGTCGTTACAAGGAGATCCTGGCAGACATATTGGATACTGTAAAAGATGAAAGTGGATGAATTTATATGAAAATAAAATTATAATAATCTTTTTATTAAAAAATTAACAAACATACCTTATACACTCTACGAATAAGACCTTCAATGAGACCAAATTGTACCAGTCGTCTTTCATTGATTCTCAAATTCTGAGGATTAAGTCTTTGGCATAAGTCCCTCATACTACTACCATGTGTCATACTTGCATACATTCTATATATGTCCCTAAGATACGCGGGTTGTCTAGCTGTAAGGAAAATAATCTTATAAAATGTATTCTTGCTTTTGTAGATCTTTACACTGGAAATATAAAGCTTACGAAATTTTGAAGCATATGCTATACATCGTTCCTGTAATTTAACATTTTCTGCTAATTCTTTTAATTTGGAGGTCGCTGCATAAACATTGCTATATTGGAATATTGGAATTAATGTTACCACACCATAATACCTGAATAAGAAAAAATATTGTTTAAATTAAGTAAATTATTTGGATGAAATTGTTATGTTTAAATATTTACACAAGGTTCTGCACACAGCTTTTAACCAGATTGTTCTCTACGTCTGCTTCTGCTGCAATTCGTGCTACATGATTAAATCCATCAATATAAGGCAACACTTGCTGTGTAGTTAAATCCCACTGATCGCTCTGAAATGCTTCACGGCCTTCCAAGAATATTGGTACCTGATGATCAAGAACTGGTTTCGGCTCAGGTGCTAACTTTATGACTTTCAAGTGGGACGTCATTGTCCCCTCTATTAAAATATTCTATTTCATGTCTTTGACATATTTGAAGAAAGATACTAATTTCAAGTTTGCCGTACCTGTTAATGTACACATCTTGTGCATATTTAAATCTTGTATCACCTGTTGAAGCATTTCTGCTAATCTTGTCTTGTCATCAGAAGATGATAAGAAACAATTTTCATCTTCAAGAGCCATCTGAAAAATTAAATTAAAAGTTTCCATCATATTCTCTATGAAAAATGTTACTCTGTACTCTTAAAATATAAGTAAACAAGTATACAAAATTCTGAATTTCTAACTTTATTATTTTTTAATTTAATCATGATTTAAAAGCTGTTGAAAAACAATCTCTTCAAATGAGAACACCCCCTTAAATAAAGAGATATAAATACAGTATCTTTTGGGGCTGCCTAATATGAAAGAATAGAATTTTTGCATAGATCTAATTACAGATGCTTACCAAAAAGTCAGACATTTTCTTAACAACGGGTTCGTAATGCACAGTACGAGCCCCTGCATCACACACAAAACATAAATTAAAATAAAATGCATTTCTAGCATATTTCTTATCATCAATTTTTACAGGGAACCCTAAAATTTTATAGTCCTTCAGTGTTCTAGAAAGAAATAAAAATTTTGATTAATTTGATTAATCTCAATAGTCTAAATTAAAAACAATATTTACACTGTTATAGTGCTACGTTGTAATTGTGCCTTTGGTATAATATACACACTGACATTATCAAAAATGTCCTTTGAAATAAAATTATCTGGTACCTAAAGAAAATTCGGTAACATTAATATTCTATTACTTACAATATCACTGAAATCAATAATATTTGAAAGTTACTAACTTGACAAGTAATTTTTGGACCTACAATATGATGAAATTCGGAAAAAAATATACATCTAATAGGATCTTCTTGACTCTTATCATCTATGTCATTTATTATTGTGATTGATGTCATTTTCTTCTTTATATTTTTATCTAATCTCATAATCTGTAATTAGGAAAATGGATTAAACAATGTTAAAATGTAAGTACTTACATTTTCGTATACGAGTCACAAACTATTATTTAAATACAAATTTAAGCTGTTCTTGTTTCCATTCTCAACAATTTTAGTCTACGTTTTATATTGAATGATAAAATTCATAAAATTTTAATTCCAACCTCAACATACATTTAAATAAAAAAATTTTTGTTGAAGTAATTTAAAAAATTACAACTGTTACATCTGTTTACAAACATTGAAAGCATTTCATTGGCACTATTATGAAATATATATGTAAATCGTAGATTTATTATATGTGTACATATCATATATATCCATATACGTCTGGTCTGTATGAGAATATACAATACTTACCATGCGCGTGAAAATTCTAAGAGAGGGAACATTACATGACAAAAAACAAAAAAAACCAATGAATGAGTGTAAGAGAGAGAAAGAGAGAGAGTGTTGCGCGTGCGCGCGCGCGCGTGTGTAAATTATGCTAAAGTAAGAGACATAAAGTATGAATAGGCATAAAAAAATAGATTAATGATGTTAAAGAACAAGAAAAAACTATTGCTAAAATCGCTGTATGTAAACGGACATGAATGAAAAATAGATAAATATTTAATGAGGAAATAGAAATAGATGCCGAGTATGAATCCAGAATAATATTGAAAGAAAGAGAGAGAAAGTGATTAAATGAATAGGAACTAGTGACTGACCGATTGAGTGTGAAAAACAGAGAAAGAATATACTTGATCTTACTCACTGTATTTACGGTATGTAATTTTTTTTATTATATTCTATACAATTTATTAATTCTTACATACTTATATACATATTCGTAATGTATTAACTATATTATATTAACTACTGGATACACACATTATATTTACAACCTGTAACCAAACGTCATTTAAACATGCATGTGTTACAGAGGTACGTACATGTAACAGATGCGCGGTAAATAATAAGTTATTACTTCTTTCTTTTACATTTTAATGCAATAATTTACATAATAAAATCGTTAACTTATATTTTAGTAATATTAGATATATTATAAAAAGTATCTAAGTGGTACTTGTCAAATTTTGGATCCTTCAACACGATATATCTCCAATGTAAAATTTCTCCTACTAATATCATGAAAGCTAACAAATAACCAGTCACAATAGCAATAAAAGCACCTTGTAATTTGTGAAGATTAACCAATGCCTTTTCAGATTCAGTTTCTTGTCGTATCTCCATAATTTTCGACCATTCCATAACATCGCTCAACCACTTTTCGACTAATCCTATTTCTATTATACGTCTTATCTACAAATATTACTGTTAATATTTTTTATAAAATACTATGGATATTTCATGTTAAAAATAAAATGTACCAAAGCATCAACATGTGGTTTTAATGGTGAATTCTTCTCCATACCAAGTGCTATGGGCATATTTACAACACATTCTTCCATAATATGCAAATTATGCTTTAATAACTCATTTCTTGTGGTTCCATTATCTCTTTGTTGTTTTTCATGTATTTGTTTTTTGACGCGTGCATTGCGAAGAAAGTAATAATTTTCATAGTAACAGAAAGATCCGTTTGCTACCTTTTCAATAGCTTCTTTTTCATTTACAATTAATTGAAATTTCTTACCAATCTTTTGACTATTAAAGTCTGATGATATTAAAAAAAAATCTTTATCTTCTTTATTCCACCCACCAGCTTGTATAGAACTTTTAGCCAATTGTCCTAATGTATCAATAGTAACTCTGTGTTCAAGTTGCGATATCAATTATATAATATCTATCAAGTATATTAAATTTTGAAAAAACATTAATATTTACCTGGCAACTGGATTTGCAAGAGTTGCAGTCATGCTACCTCGATAAGCAACTGCAACTAGTATGCTATAAACCCACCACCATCCAATAAATACTCGCACAGCCCATGGATTTGGCAAGTTAGGTAATGAAACTTGAAGCAACATGCCATATGTATATAATATACTGTTTTGTATTTCAGTAAACAAATACAAACTCTTTATTTCCTTCTCCATAAATGTAGTCTGAATATGCATTTTATTCTTGTACAAACTTATATATTTCTTGTAGGACAATGATAAGAAATGAAATGCAATACCTCCCAAGACTAAAGTAAAAAGTAATGCAATCCAAGTGTAAAGCCTAAAATTTGAAACGAAAATATTTTCTATATCCTGTTTATCTTTTTCTATTTGCACTTACTTAAATGGAAGTATTAAAAGCATCCATGAATTTTCTGTCAAAGATTCTGGCGTTAGAAAAGTGAGGCACTCTGTATTATATGGAATAGTTAAATCAAAATATTTTAAATGATGCAATGTATAATGTAAATCACCCAAATAAAATGCAGCTTTTCCTTGCATGGCTTCATTTGTAAGACCTGTGTATGTTTGATTACCTCCTCTTGTTCCCCACCTCTCAAATGCTATATTCTTTGGCATATAATACTTTGGTTTGAAATTCATAGCTTTCGATATAATCTGTATTAACTGAAATATAACATTCATATAATTATAAATCAGCAAATCATTTTTCTAATACTACATACTTCAAATTCTATTCCCAAAGCCTCTGAATTATTATTTGATGTCTTGTTGTAATAAGCTCTTGATTTTTCTGTTACTGATGGAATATGTTCGAAAACAGCAACTCTAAAATTCAAATGAAGACAGCATTATTTGATCTTACAACATAATAAAATTATGCCTGTTCTCATCTATACTAACCTTAGATGTTTCTTTCGTAGATTCGAAGTCTTTTTTATGAAATGATTTATGCTATAACGCAATTTATTATGATACCAAGTATCTATATATTTAGTAAAAGTAATTCTTTTGCCTTGAGAAGGAAAGTAAACAGAGTAGAGATCAATTCTTTTCTTGAATACTTTTTCTCCAGACCGGTGTCTGTATGCATTGTATTGACGTATGAAAAGTACATTGATTATTCTATTCCAAAGGTAGTGTAAGTTTGGTTGAAATAAACGATGATCATATAAAAGCAAAAATAGTCCCCGAGTGTTGATTAGACGTTCACTAAAAAGGAGAAAAGCAGAATAAATTCAACATGAAAAGTGTTATTATTGGAACTTCTTAATAAAACAAACCAATGTTTTTAATTAATTATCTTATAATATTATTAACGTTTTTATGAAATGTTGGATTCAATATCAACATTATTTACTCACTTTTCTGCATATTGTAGAAATTTAGATGTTAAAAGACCGTTAGCGATCAGGATTACGTATACATTGCAACCAATTGCCTTACTATCGACTAACATCCTTTGAATTTGTTTCCTTGGTCGGGAAAACTGTTCCTTATCACGTAACGCAATCTGTGGTATTAGATTTATAAATATAAAATTTCACTAAAAATAAATAAATATTATTTTACCTCATATTTTGAAGTTGGTGAACTCTGAACGTGCACGATATCCGCAAATGTCCGATAGACAGAATCAGTAACAAATACAATACAATTCTCTTGCTCGATAATTTCGCCAACAATCTTCTTAACAAGCAATTTCAGATTCTCATCACTTTTCTCACATTCGTAGTCTTTATAAAATCCACTACAGAATTTTTTGGAAAATTTGTTTGTATATAGAAAAAAATTATAAAGAAACAAGTTGCTTGGTTCAAAAAAGTTTCAACTCTTTGTTGAACTTTTTTGTGATCAGAACTTCTACAGAAAGTACAATGATGATTCTAAACTATATTTTCTTTGTTAATAAAATTTATATACCTTCTTACATAATGAAATTTTTCTAATATTTTTATAACAAGTTTTTTAATGCAAATAAAAAATTTTATTAATAACATCTTCTAACTAATCAATTCGAATTTGTTTATATTTCCATGCATTTGTAATATTATTGGCAATTGTATTTTGGAAATGCATCATTGCACGATTGGTACATAATATTGATGTATACAAAATGTATACAATTATTACTTTCTGCCAACTGCAAGGGTGATTTGGAGGAGCAAAATGAAGAACATGGCTCTTAGATTCTAACAAGTTTTCAATTAAAGTAACCAGCATGCCAATTCCGAATCGATTGAACAGCGTTGGAATTGAATATTTAGAGATCTCATTTGCAAGGAAAATTAAGTTAAATGAGTAATGTGTTCAATAATGGAAATATCAATTAACGATAATGAGTTAAGGGCATAGATCAGCCTGAGATGTGTAAAAATAGGTAAACTTTGGGAATTTTTTTGTTGATAACTATTAAAAGAAAAAATCTAATATTTTCTAGATACAAATGTGATCTTCAGCTTTATATTTATATATTTTTTTTAACTAAAATGTTACAAAATGGCGGAATTATTTGCTAGCTTCGAGATCTCGTTTCAAAATACATCTATTGATGGACATGAGAACAAACAACTGAAACATCCGACGACAAAAATTTGTATGAATTTATAAATAGAAATAGCAAGACTTATAAGTGTCAAAACATATGTTTATTTCAAAATGTTTATAAAAAATTGAATAGATATCATATAGAAAATAGCATATCCTGCGTTGTAAAGTATTGTATATAGAATAGTTTCTGCAAACTGGAAGACAGTCGGACCTAAAGTTTCGAAAATCTCACATCCGTCGGTACGAAAAACATGGTTTCGAAAAAATCGCGAAAAATTCGAAGTATTAACAGCTCTTGTGGCTCAAGAAAATTATCTGTAGCTATTTTGTATTTTTTTTTATAATAATTTTTGAATCTTTTTCCGATTTTTATCAGATTTTGTTGCAGGGCTCTTTAGTCGTCGCTCGTTCATATAGATTGCTGTAACTTCTCTAGATATTTAAATTTTGAAAAATCCTTTTACCAAAATGTTCTACATACTACTTGATACTGCAAGAAAATTAAAACCAAAAAATCAACTTTTTTTATCTATCGGAGTAGTCTTCCCCCATAAATTAAGAATACGTTTTGTTGATAATATTACAGAATTCTCGCTATAACCCTAATTTTCATATAATTGATAATTCTAGAAATGCACATTTTGAACAACTTTTTCGGTAATTATTTAGTGTAGCGTTTTCCTCGCCAATTTCAATGATTTTTGGATATGTTGCAAAGGACGTGATTTTAAGCAATTTTTTCCTATACACGTAACTTCCGCTCGGTCTTAGTTTCCGAAATAATCCACTACCACTACATTAAATTCTATATACATCAGCGTGTTTTTTTTTAGACTGCCACAAGCATGGGGGCGTATCTGTAAAACGACACAAGCAGAACCAGCAATTTTCTCGGGTTTCACGTACTCCCCTCGACAAAAGTTCCACTAATTTCAGTCAATCGTAGTAGTTTCGCACCTTGTTTCGTACATACAGAAACGAGTTTCACTTACGTAATAAAAATTAGAATTGTAGTACGGTATGGCTCAACTGACATAAAGCAACGAAATTTGGAATAATTGTAGGAAAGGGAAAGATACTAAATTTCAAATTTCAACATCCTAGAAAATCCTTTAAAAAAATTAAAAGAGTTTAAGACCTTTGTAAGTTATTTTGGTAATTATTTAGTTTGGGGTGTTCCCCGTCGATTTCGATGATTTTTAGATATGTTGTCGGGAATATAATTCTAAACAATATTTTTCTATATATATTATTATATTCCTATATTAATGTATATTTTCTTTTTTAAATGCCGCTGTTTCTTAGATTCTGAGATGATCGCAAAAAATGTTTTGGTACTATTACATTAAACTGTATTTATACGTGTACTGTAGAGGTCCCATGTTAGCCAAATCGGCCTATGGCATAAAAGTGAAGAGGGGCAAGGGGAGACATCCACTCACAGCGCTCGGCTTGATCGTCATGGGGGCTCGGTTTCGACACGTCCTAGTTATTGGATGAGCCGCGAACTCAGGTGGAGCGTGCGGTCGAATCCCCTTGCCCCTCTTGACTTTTGACAGGTCGACCTGGCTAACGTGGGACACTTACAATACCTCTGAACTAGTGTGACCATTGGCATAAAGTGACTGCTTATCTGCCGCTTCTATGAACACATTGTAGTAAACGAGAATTCCTAGATATAAAAGATAAACTGATTGAAACAGAAACCATGACGATAAGGCCAATTTTCGCAAAATCGGTGTATATTGTAAAAATCCCAAAATTTTGGTTTGGGTAGTTTAAAAGGACTGTTAACAATTATAAAGTAAAAGAGTACCTCCCTAAAAAAACTACCCCAACTAATACCAATACCAATACCGATTACTATTATTTTTGTCAAAAAAGAAAGTTATCCAAAGCAACCATTTTTACAAGATACGTTAGTTTTATGAACTTATAAATAATCAGACGGTAATAAACATTTTGGTGTTGGTATAGTGTTTAAAATAACGACACTTCTTTATATAGGAAAAAGTTGCTTAGAATTACGTTCCCGACAATATACCTAAAAATCATCGAAATCGATGGGGAACACCCCAAACTAAATAATTACCGTTATTTTTTACAATTTAAGATTAAATGGGCTTTATGAGTTGATATAAGATTTTTAGGAATTATAAAGTAAAACGTAAGTGAGGAATGACAGAGTTCCTGCATCCCTACCCTGTGAAAAACAAGGCCCATTTATACGAATCTTTACTACATTAGTAAAATTAATTTCTATATGTATGAAATAACGTACGAAGCCAAGACAATTAATTGAAACTTTGATAGAGGAGAGTACCTGTGTGAAATCCGAGAAAATCAAGGGGTACTCGATGTAAGTTATCATTAAACCGATAAACGTGTGACTAATCATGCAACCGTTGCATAGCATGCTCATGTACATAAATAGAATTCAATGTAGTAATAGCGAATATTTTTATCTCTGAAACTAAAACAGCGCAGACATTTTTTGTCGAAGAAAAAAGTCATTCGTAACACCAATTTCTACATCATATATTAACGTTATGAAAATCGGCGACGGCGTCCACACAGTATATCTAACGTTATCTAAAAAATTAATAAAGAAATTTTATTAACGTAATTAAATTAATAACATTAATTTCTACTGCACATTAATTTCAATAGCTTACAATAAAGGAGTACTGATATCATACTGAATTAATATTTTTCAAATGTGACTACATTGTTCACACATCGAAATAGCAAGTCACGGTACCAACATTGTTGCATTAGGCGTTCATTGTCAGAACTGATTAAAATGTAATAAATGTAGAACGTTCTTATAATGAATCTTTAATGAATTACTTGTCATTCATGTTAACAAAGTCCAGTCGTCACCCGACAAGGTGAACCATCTTATCTAAAATCTATTCTATTAATACTCGTATAAAGTAATAATAAATAAAGGCTCAACGGTAGTGTTATCAATCGTGCAGCGCAGTTTAGCTTGCATCACTTAGGAATCATTTATTGAACGCATAGGTATCCAGACTCATGAAATTGACAAAAATAAAGAAAATGATTGCTGATCTACCGAAAGGACCATTGGACTCTTACAGAAAACGCTCAACATTCGACTGGAAACTATTAAAATTAAATTTGGAAGGAGAGGATTATATAAACTTTCAGGTAAAAAAAAGCCAATCTGATTATTTTATAATTTGATACTTAATCCTTAAGTGCGACAATCTGTCTATCAGACCGCTTACGATCTTAATTTATATACATTTTTTGGTGTATAATTTACTACCTATACATTAATATTAATGTATGACACGTCAGTCGTGTAAAAAACCGGCTGTATCACTTAAGAATTAAGTAAAACATAATTTATATTATCTTTTAGAATACCGTATGGAACTTCATACGAAAAACGCCTGTGTTTCAAAGACTTATCTCTCCAACATTGGATGAGGAACGAAGAATTTGTAACGCTCGTATTAAAGCATTAATCGATAATGATATTGCGGTAAATATTGTATTGCTTGCGTCTGTTAATAATACAGAAAGGAGAGAAAGCAACAACTACATAATTAATATTCCATTTTTCTACAGAATCCAGTGAACCATAGAGACTGGTTCAATGTGATCTTTCAGTATGATGCCTCAATTCCCATAAAAATGGGTGTAATGCAGGGCATGGTACCTGTTGCAATTCTTACTTTAGGTACAAAAGATCATTCTGAAATTGCAGAAAAGCTTCAAGAAGGTCAAGTAAGCATATAATAGATATAACTTTAGTAAGAAGTGTTTTACATTTTACTTAACCTAGGAATTACATTCTGGAGCCTTTGTAATCACATAAAAAGTAAATTTCATAGAAAACATTTTGCTTGGAATTTATAAGCAAATGCATTTCAATGTATTTTGAGGTAGATATACATTATTTTATCATACTTCCTTCTTGCATTTCTTCTATACATCCTTATCAACATCAGTAACTGTACATATTGTTGAATTTATAATAAGAATTCTTGTTACACTGTGATTCACCAGATTCCAGATTATCAAATAGGTAAAAAAAAACGGTAGGTAATTATTCGGAATCATGTTCATCTCAGCGATTTTAATGGCCTTGAAATATGTTGTCAAGATTGCCATTCTAAACAACTTTTCCTTGTACATGTTACCATCACTCGGCCTTAATTTTTTAGATATTCACAAAAAAACTTTAACAATTATTTAGAAGTTTCACCTCCTCGCAAATTTAAACGATTTTAAAATATATTGTCGAGAATATCACTTTGAACAATTTGTATGTAACATATATATGGAGAAGCTGTTCAAAATCATGCCCCAACACGTTTCAAGTTCATTGAAATTAATGAGATGACCATAATTCCGAATAATTATTAAATGATGTGTCTGTTTAAGAATATATTTGATATATACATATATTTCATAAGTGGTAGTTGAATTCGTATTAAAAATATCATTTTTAACAGTATGCAAGCTGTTTTGCACTAACAGAAATATCTCATGGGACAAATGCAAAGGGAATTAGAACTACAGCAACATATGATGTGCAATCAAAAAGCTTCATCATACATACTCCTGACTTTGAGGCTGCAAAGTGTTGGGCTGGTGGTTTAGGTGAACAGCAGAAAGAAACCAGATAATGCTTTCTAGCAAATCATGAATAAAAAAACGTGTACTTTTAGGAAAGACTGCGACACATGCTATTATATTTGCTCAGTTAATTACACCTGATAGATCGAATCATGGTCTCCATACATTTATTGTACCTATAAGGGACCCAAATACTCATCTTCCTCTACCGGGTGTGATTGTTGGTGACATGGGTGAAAAGATTGCACTAAATGGACTGGACAATGGGTTTGTGATGTTCGATAATTACCGAGTTGCTCGGCAGTGTTTGTTGAATCGAACAGCAAGCGTTACAGAGGATGGAACATACAAAACGAAAGTAAAAAATGAGAGCAAAAGATTTGGTAAGCGGTTCGCTCACATTACAGTTTTAGAGAGAAAGTCTTCATCAGAATATACACAGGTGCGTCGTTGGGTGCATTGTCATCGGGTCGTGCCACGATCACATCTATAACTGTAAACATAGCATCCTTAGCAATGGTGATTGCGGTTCGATATTGTGCTGTAAGGAAACAATTTGGACCGTCGGAATCAGAGGAATGGCCAGTTATAGAATATCAAGCACAGGTATTTAGATTGACGGAATAAAAATTCGTTAAAGAAATATAATAATATTTCGCAATATATATAGTGTAATTAAAACTTATCGTAAATGCGTAGCAATGGCGACTGTTCCCCCACTTGGCATCAATATACGCAATAAAAGTCTTTTCCTCTGCATTTGTGACTCAGATGTCTGAATTTCAACTTAAACTATCAAATGCAAAAAATGACGATAATATTGATCACGAAGGTATGGAGATTCACGCATTATCCTCTGCAGCCAAACCACTCTGTTCATGGACTAGCCGAGATATCATTCAAGACTGCAGAGAATCCTGTGGAGGACATGGGTACCTAAAAAGTATGTAAATCGTGAACCAGGTCTATGTAAAAAATATATTTTGTTTGTTTTACTTAAGTTTTATTTATTAATAGTGTCACGTTTGGGCGACTTAAGAGCCGAAAATGACGCGAATTGTACCTATGAAGGGGAGAATAATGTATTAATTCAACAAGCTAGTAATTGGTTATTGAACCAATGGTCGAATATGCTTAATGGAAAGTCCATTAATTCTCCTCTTGGAACAGCACATTTCATAAAAGATGCCAACAATATTTTAATGCAAAAGTTTTGTCATTCGACAATTGAGGATACAATAAAAATAGAAAGTATAAAAATAATTTTATGGAATATTTGTAGAGGTGTCTCTGTTTAGATAACTTATGGTTTACCACTTGCAGACTTACTCTTATCTTTTCAATGGTTAATTTGTTACTACTTGAAAAGAACTTATGAGAAAACAAAATATTTAAAAAACAATGGCTATGATGATTTCGAAACTAGAAATAATATACAAGTATTTTTTGCACAGACATTGTCGCTGTTATATGGACAGGTAATAATTTATGTTTGATGTTAAAAGTATTTCCTTATATTAATATTAATTATATGTTTTTCTGTAGCATGCCTTAATGAAATACTTTATAGAACGCATACAGAATCCTATATGGAGACCTGAAGAACGTAATGTATTAACAAAGTTGTGTTCACTTTATGGAGCTGTTACTCTAGAAAAAAAATTGGGAGATTTTTATGCTGGTGGTTACGCAACGCCTATGAGTAATATGGAAAACTTTTTACGAAGTGGCATCATAATGTTATGTAAAGAATTAGTTAATGATGCTGTAGCTCTAGTCGATGTTCTAGCACCACCAGATTTTATTATAAATTCACCATTAGGAATGGCAGATGGCGAGGTATTAGAAGATACCTATCTTTTTCTTTCGTAATTTGCTTCTTTTTTATAATGTTGTTTTAATCACAGGTATACAAACATATTAAAGAATGGATGTTTGAGAAGAAAGAAAATTTTGATCGACCTACATGGTGGAAAGAAATAACACGATCTAAATTGTGATATATATATATACATAACTAACTTCGTTTATTATATTTTTTTATATTATTATACATACACAAAGATATATATATATATATATATATATATAGGACAATAAAGACGTTTTACGTGATATTCATACAAAATATGAAATCTATATAGAGCTATACAAAGTCCTATTTATTTAAAAACGTGAAACATGAAATTTTTATAATATTAATATAAAACATATAACAATTTTTTTTCGAAGTTTGTATGATTTTCCTTTACTTCTATAGCTAATACACTTCCATAGTATATTGTGAACAAACGTGTAAAAAAGTATTGAGAAACAGAACAAAAAAGAGTAACGAAGTAGAATATATAGATTATTAGGGGCGAGGAAGAAAAGAAAGAATGTATCGAGTAAAAATAAGAGAAAGTATAAAAAAGATGTAATACACTACTATTAGATGGTAATAAAATATTTTATACATACTGATATTATAGTTCGGTGTGTCTCTTCATTGTAATTAAAGACTTATCTGCTTCGGCAAACCATTCATTATAAACTACTTGTGGTTCAATCATCCAAAACTTGTGAAAAGATACAGGTTCCTGAGACGCAAGATAGGAAGTTGCGTAATCGGATGGACGTGCCTGAAATAAATATATTCCTTAATTAATGTATGAAGCTGTAAACACAAATGGATAACAATGAAAATTGCAATGATTGTGTTATTTACTAATACATATTGCATACTTGATGAAACAGTTGTGAATGAACAGGTTGTACTCCAATTCGTGTTAAACATATACCAAACAGGTACATGTCATCTGGAGTTGTGGCGGATGGACAATCACATCTGCCTGCCTGTACCATTTCATGAACTAAGGGTTTAGATAAAACAAGTCCAGCACCGCCTGTTAAATACTCATATCCATGAGAACGGTCCCATACACGGAAACCATATCTTTCTCCAATTGCAAGAGGAGTATTGGGGTTATAGCATGTTAACAAACGCATCAAACGCGCTATGCTAATGTAACATAAGTTATGTTATGTTAATATTAACAGAAATATGTGTACGCACAAAAGAAGTAGCTTACCTAAACATTGTATCATCATCACAGATTATTAACCAATTTAAATTATTTTTCTGTAGTATCTTGTTTGCTTGTACTAAAATATTATAAGTCTTAGCACAGTGTCCATGTGTAGTATTTGGCACAATAAAAGCCTCTGGTAAATTTTTATCTACACTGAAGAAAGGTATATTACTTAAACAATAATCGATATACACATAGTATTGTTTAACCTTTTTGTTACTAGCAGTGACTACAGTTACCCGGTGCCTGAGGCTCACTATGTACTAACAGTGATTTTAATTACCCAACGCCTGACGCCTTCTTTCATGTATTAAATATTATTGTATTATATTTTATAATTATATGTATCACAACTAGAATAAGGGATTAATAAATTACAATAAGCCAATATTTATTAAAATTATGTTCGTAAAGTTAGTTAGGTCGCGGTAAAACAAGTGTCTCCATATTAAGATTGCCTCGTACCGTGATAGCATATTCGCGAGTAAAGCTGTAACGAAAAGGTTAATTACATATATTGTGTAATTGATCATACCAGCTCCATCGCTATAGTAACCAATATTTTTAACATGTTTTGCCCATGTCCTCTTGACTACAGGAATTCTATCAATGTGATACTTGGTGCATGTTTTTACAGCAAAATATGCGTTCTCAGTAGATACAGATGAATCCTTTATTTAAAATATCAATGTATCATAAAGTGTCATAACTAATATAAATATACATTAACTACATTAATGGATAAAAAAATATTAACTTACACATGGATGAAAAAATCTTGGATAAGTGGCACAGTCAGGACTAGATACAATACATATTTCAGATGCATGTGTTAATCGTATTCCTTTATCAACATTTAAAACAAATAATGCAAATTCGTATGATACATCAATTGAAAAGTCATCTTTAGGTTTATCTCCTGTAATGATTTTTTGTACTAAACTAAAAAAGAGAAATGTATTTCATGTACATTATTGCAGCAAATGTATGTAATTAGAAACTTGCAAACTATGGAAACTAATTTTGTAAGGAGTACCTATTCATCAAAGCTGATGTTATAGCAAAACCTGAAGCTATATGCGGATATTTAAATTTTATATTATGCTCTGCAAAATGATGTATGATTGTTGGTTCGTGATCATATAATGCATGACCGATCCATAATTTCTAGAATGAAAAATTAATAAAATAATATTAATTTTTCACGCAAATAGCATATTTTTTTATAGAGAAACATACCTTATTCTCTTTATACTTAGACAAAGTATTTAATAGTTTAATTAATCTGATTACTGTATTTTCCAAACAAAAGAAAAACCACTTCGAAGTTGGATGGGTATGTTCCAATAGTGGTATTATTGTCCACGATCCATTAATGTTCAACTCATGGGACAAAATTATTTGAGGAGGATCCTAATTAAATAAAGAAATCATAATTCTCAATAAACTAATTGTATAAATTGCTGTATATACATAAAGGTACAAATACATACCTTATCAAGAGTGTTAGCCTGTTCAATAATACTTTTCTTTAAAACATCGGCATGTGCTGCATGATAACCCTCTTTTTGACTCAACACAATAAATGTTACGTCACTAGGATCTACAGAAAAAAATAAAATGTTTATATTGTATTTACGCAATAATTAAAAAATAATGTAATAAAGCTTACTTAAAATGCTTGTATCAATTGTCCCAATGCAAAGAAAAAAGAGTAATATATACACAGCACAAACAGAAGACATCCTTAAATTAAAAACAAACTAATAATTCCACAATATTCAATAATAATTTTAAGTACAAAGAAATAATATTAAAACACTTTTATATGTTTGTATATGACAGAAATTTTTTTTAATTCCACATGTTCTACTAACAATTTTTTACTAAAATATAAGAAAATTTAAATAATATTAGAAATATACAGTTGTAAATTAGAATAAACTTTTTGTAACAAGATTGTTATACACAAATAACTGATAAATATTTCATTTGAATATGATCAACTAAGCTTCAATCATAAAGCTTGAATTATAAGAAGAGCAAGCTGGTTTCAAGTCTATACTACATAACAGAGGTGTCTAACTTATCTAGGTAGTTATTTACCAGTTATCTGCTCTCCTCACGCTAGTAACTTTATTCCCCCTCTACCTCTACTTTAGTAGCTGCCCGAGACTGGTATGTAGCAATTCTATGAGTGTTCAATTCACTGGTAAAAATAGTTTTGATTGGTTACACATAACTATATCGATAAATAATAAATTAACATTGTAAATGAAATGAGAACTGATCAATCAACCCCCATTCCTCAGCCTAGTCACCAAGTGATCTCTTAATAGTAAATATGTTATGAAAATTAATTCTTGAAAATCAGTGGAGTTTCATTTCTATAGTTATCTCTGCTGTGGCAATGTCAGGAAGGAAATCGTATTCACTTTGAGGTGGGGGAAACATGTACATGTGTCCCACACATCAAGCAGTTTTAAATGCATTTCAAACCGTTATTACAAGTTTACTCTGTTATATCAGGAAATAGTTTTAAAAGTTATTTATTCTTGTTTTAATTTTCCATAGGAAAGCACTAGTAGTGTAAATATTATTTTATACTAAACAAATCAAATGTAAGTAATACCATTACTTTCATAATATATAGTTTACTATGTATATAAATATAATAGTTTTATCATTTATGAATTAATAACTTCATCCTTTTTTTTAAGATATCGATAATAAATTTCAATTATATATAAAAAATTATTTCTTTGCTCATAATGATTATATAGTTCATTTTACATATACACAAATTTATGAATTTTAAGTGAAACGTAATGTTTATAGATGACTGATGATACAGTTCGTGTTGCTGTACGTATCCGTCCATTAGTAAAAACTGAAATAGAAAAAGGCTGTCAAACATGCTTAGAAGTTGTTCCTGGTGAACCACAAATAATTGTACGTAATACAGATAAAGCATTCACATTTAATTATGTCTTTCCCCCTGATATAGCTCAAGAAGAATTTTATGAGACAGCTATCAAAGGGATGGTAGGAAATATTTTTGAAGGTAAAAGTATAAACATGTACTAATGCATTGTATGTAGGAATATATTGTATGAATAGTAGGTTTTTCTTATAAGATCAAATAGTATTAAATATATGTTTGTGTTTATTTCATTAACATTTTATGATAAAAGTAAAAGTTGATTCCTTTTATATATGGTTGAAAGTATTTTCACTTGTAATCAAAGCTGTTAAAAATATTTTGAATAAGAAATAAATGAGGTGAATGTAATTAATATAAGCTGTAATGAGCAAAGTAGTCCACATACAATGTGTTAATAATTATAAATATACACAAACATATAAAATTATGTAAAATAATTTTATGTTGTATTATAGGGTATAACGTAACTATATTAGCTTACGGCCAAACAGGAAGTGGTAAAACCCATTCAATGGGCACAAATTATGTTGAAACAGGAGATACAGGTGTAATACCAAGAGCATTGCATGATATATTTAATATAATTCATTTGAAAAAGGATTGGAGTTTTAAAGTTGCAGTCTCATTTATGGAACTTTACCAAGAACAATTATATGATCTTTTGGCAGATAAACAACGTAATCAATCTATCGTTGATATTAGAGATGATGGTAAAAATATTAAAGTGTCTGGAGTTGTTGAAAAAGAAGTTGTAAATGCAGCAGAAGCATTACAGTGCTTAACTCAGGGATCAATAGGTCGTGTAACTGGTGCCACAGCTATGAATGCCCAAAGTAGCCGTAGTCATGCTATATTTACGATATGTGTACATCAACAAAAACAAGATGATCCTCATACAGCAACAACAGCTAAATTTCATCTAGTAGATCTAGCTGGATCTGAACGAAGTAAAAAAACACAAGCAACAGGAGAAAGATTCAAAGAAGGTGTTAACATAAATAAGGGCTTGTTAGCATTAGGAAATGTTATATCTCAATTAGGAGAAGGAGGTTCTTCTGCTTCCTATGTTGGTTATCGGGATAGCAAGCTCACAAGATTGTTGCAAGATTCCTTAGGTGGTAATTCAATGACACTCATGATAGCATGTGTGAGTCCAGCAGATTATAATCTGGATGAAACTCTCAGTACATTAAGATATGCAGATAGAGCACGTAAAATAAAGAACAAACCTGTAATAAATCAAGATCCACAACTTTTAGAAATAAACAGATTAAATAAAATAATACAAGAGTTAAAGCTTGCTTTAGTTGATCAAGAAATTAGAATTTCTGATCCACTAGAACATACAGAACTCAAAGAGAAGAATCAGTTCTTACAACAGAAGATCAGAGACTTAACTGAAAAACTAAATGAAAATTTAATTGAGATTGTAGTTATGCATGAAAGAGCAGAATTGGCTGAACAAAGTAGGGAAAAGATTCAAGCTGACATGTTGAAGATATTAGAAGACTGTAAAGAGATTTTGGATAACTTTGATAAAAATCCCGATTCACACATTGAACATCGTGCAAAAATAGAAGCTTTATACTTAAAAATTCTTGGTAAGTAACTCTTTTCATCAATTTATCATTATCATCATCACTGTCGTCGTCGTCATCATTGACACCATTATTATAATAATTATTATTATTATTTAAATAATTGTAATTAGTAAAAAGTATTTTTCTTAAACAGATATAGAGAAAGATCAGAAAAAGACATCAGAAAAGCTTATAAACTGTGAAATAACACCTTTTTATTCAAATACATTTACAATGAATGTGGATGATGAGGAACAGACGTCTATAGATAAAATAAACTCTGAAAATCACGATAGTTTTGACGATATCGATGAAAAACAAGAAGAGCATACTTTACTTCAAGTAAAAAGGAATGACAAAGTACAAGATATTAATAAAGAACTCGCCATTAAGGAAGGTCTTATGTGTCAACTCTTAAAGAATTCTTCTCAATTAATTGATTATTCTAAAGAAATACATGATATGGAACAAGAGATAAAAACGCTTCAAACAGAAAAGGAAGAACTTGTGCAAGCACTACAAAATGTTCAGACAAACAACGCTAGTTCAAAGTAAGAAATTGAATTATTTTACGATTTTCAGTTATCCAATCATTATATTAATTTATCCTTAATGCTTGTAGATTAGCAAAATCTCGACGTATAAAAGTCCAAGAATTAGAGAAAAAAATATCAGAATTAAAGCGCAAGGTCACAGAGCAAGATAGAATAGTCAAAATGAAAGAAAAGCAGGATCAACAAATAAAACAGTTGTCGAATGAAATGAAATCATTGAAACAGACTAGAGTAAAGTTAATTAGACAAATGCGTAACGAATCCGAGAGGTTTTCAAAGTGGAAGGAATGTAAGGAGAAAGAACTGAACAGATTGAAAAGTCAGAATAAAAAACAAGTCAATGAAGTGACACGTTTGAAAATGTGGCACAGTAAACAAGAGACAGTATTCAAAAGAAAAATGGAAGAAGCTTTTGCCGTTAACAAGAGATTAAAGGTACGCGTTTAAACGAAAAATTTACGTAATCCTTTGAATGAATGATTTATTCCCTCTTTTAGGACGCACTCGATCTGCAAAAGAAAGCAGCAGCAATGAAGAAGGAAAAGCTAAATAACAATGTAGAGAAAATAAAAAATTGGCTAACTCAAGAAATACAAATATTGGTGAGCACTGTAGATGCAGAATATTCTCTTGAAAGATTAATGCAAGATAGAGCATCGCTGGCAGCTACATTGAAACAGTTTCGCAATAGTAGTGATCCAGACGAACAGAAGATGTCTGAGCTTACTGAATTCCTAGACTTACGTAATACACAAATTACTGATCTTCAACAAAAAATTGTTGAATCAGATCAAGGTGAATGTTTTTTACATAAAATGTTCAATTTAAATTTAACAAGTTCACTAAAAATAAATTTGTATAGAGAATAGAACAAATACAAGGTTGCAAAAAATCCACACAATGGAGGAAGCAAAACTTGCACTTAAAATGTTATTTAAGCAAACTGCAGAGAGTAGAAAAGAACATTGTGCAAAGGAGTCTGAGTACAATAATCTTCTGGTTTGTTATATGATACTATATATGACATTTTTTTGTATATGATACTATATATAATATTATATGATATTTCTATGAACGTAGGAAAAGTATGAAACGTTGCAAACAAAGATGGAAGAATACAAACAAAAAGAGAAGGAAAGACGTGTTTCAAGGCAGCTTGAATTAAATAAAGCTATAAACCACATTTCGGAATCTGAAGAGAAAGAGAATTTAAAATTGAAACAAGAATTACAGCTTTATAAAGAAAAGTGCCAACACCTAGAACAATCAGTTAATACAGATTTTTAATTTCATTGATGATACATGTAATACACATTTTATAAATTTCTGTTTGATTTTGCAGGTTTTAACTGAGGTGAAAAATAGAAATGAAATAAACAAAACAAAACAAAAAAATAAAAGACAAACGACAATTACAGAAGAAATTGATGAAAATATATATCCTGAGTCAGATGATAGTAACATTGAAGATGATGTTGAAAGAGATCCAGATTGGACACAAACACCACTGTACAATCGGATACAAAAACTTTTGGTATTTCATTTGTGTTATCGAACGCTATTAAATATGGTATTCCCTTTGTATAATCGCGACTTGTACCAACAACTTTGTTTAGTACGTTTTATCCACAAATATAGTTTCCGCTTTTAATAGGTTGTTTATAGATAGAAATATGGTAAATTTTATTAGTTAATAGTTCGCTTCAATAACATCGATGGAAAGAAAATCATGAAAAATTGATGAGAATAAATAGATAAGTAGGACTTGAATCTGGATATGTCGTTAGCACATCATATTCTTATGATATGCGATTAATTGAGAATTATTATTGTTTTGTTGAACAACTCGTATCTATAGCCCCCAAATAAAATACAAAGTTATTAGCCTCTACTTTTACATGTTAAGATATAATTCAATACATCATCTAGTTAATTAATTCTCGTAGAAGGAACAGAATTTTAAAGAGTGAAAACTTGACTTCTTTAGTTTCAAGAAATTTTGCTTTTGGACATTTCTTAACTCATTTGCATTATATAATTGTGATATGTGAATGAATGGATAACTAGCGGGCTTTGTTTTTACTTGATCAATGACAAGAAAGCGAAATAATGATAGCAAGTAAAAAATGAATAAAATTGAGCTGTCATAAAAAAACTATCTCGTAATCTTCTTATTTGTCTCTAAATCATCATGTAGTTCTAAGTGGCGCGGCTATAGAAGGGGAGTACTAAATATTGTTTATCATTGGGAATGTTATTTTAAATTTACTTGATCCATTTTTAGAACACAACAAAAAATACATCCTCTGAGCAATTATCTAATTTCAAACGATCATCAGACGGAGAAATAAAATGTCGCTGTAAAACAAAGTGTGCAACTCGAGTTTGTTCATGTCGCAAGAATAAAGAATTATGTGTTAACTGCAGTTGTAACCCAGAACTTTGTCAAAATAGAGATCTGAAGAATGTAAGTTATCTTAATTACTAAAAATGTTATGCATTGCCATCTTATTATATAATTATATTTTTTTAGCTGCGTAAAACTTTATTTGACTTTAAAGACACCCAAGACGAAGAAGAACTAATAAAAAAACAACGGTATATTTCAAGAATATTTTCAACGTTTTCTATTATCTTTTGTGATAAATACTAACTACTCTCTTATTCTCTTTTAGACTAGTGGACGAAGAACATGAGTAATGTAGCAATACAAGTACAATTAATTAAAACAAACTTAGTGCCTGCTAAGTAATGTTTAAATATTTTACTCGTTTAACTTTAACTGCTTTCTTTTTGCATTATTTTATTAAACTGAAGAATTTCTCATCTGTAATCACGGATTATAATTGTACATCAGTACAGATATTAAGATTAAAATGGAATATTAAATAAATTTTTATAGTAACTTATATTACTATTTTATTTCATTGCATTCCCAAGTGTAACTCTGATAAGATCTATATATTCTGCATCTCAAACGTGTTTTCTTTACGTGGAGAAAATCTAACAAAGATATTCCTGATTCTTAGAGGCGCTGCATATTATCAAAAAGAGGATATTTCATATTCGGACATTTAATATTTTATTTAACTATGTTTTTTTCATCGACATATAATTTGTATTATTTATACATAAAGTAAACAATTAGTATTTAATTATCTAGTACACAAATGTTAAGCGAATAAAACATTTGGTATTGCATTTTGTACTTACATATACTTACATTGCATTTGTTTATATATCACTTTTGGTTGTGTTTATTACACGTTTACTACACGTTTGTGTTCCTATATGCGGAGAAAAGATAAATATAGTAGACTTTTTATACAAGAATACTGAATAATTTTTTTAAATTAAAAAATTCCGTACATTATAATTCTAATATTATAGTATATTACATATATTATTATATAAAACATTTTAACTATAGTAAGATCACGCTTAACACTGCTCCGTTTAACATTGTTTTATTTAGCGTTTTATTTCTTTTAAACGTATCTTCTACGATAAACAGAATCTTACTCTATTAAGTAAAATAAATGTATATATAATATAATGTAGAATCGACAAGTAATTATGACTAAACAAATTCCATTTCATCAACGTTACCATAGAACATTAAAAAAAAATATAGTAACTTATTACGTATTTAATGTATTTCTATTTTAAATCAAGCGCCAAAACTTGAGTGAATTTAGATTTCCGTTTATGGTGGTCAGATCTCTTCCGGTCGTATAGTACACCGAGCAAGATGGGTATGTAATCAATCTCAAAATTATATTATTTTTACAGTTATTAAATATAAATTTTAAAACATGTGAAGTTCATGCAATTGTCTGTAATGTATTCTACCATAATTTTCTTAAAAAACAGTAACAAACATATTTGTGATGTATTTTAAATTGCATTGAAAATAACGTGGTTGCTTGTGGACAATGAATTTATTCTTAATATCTTATTTACCATTTCACAGTTATCAATATCTTTAAGATATAATACAACCTTTAAATATATACAATATATTAGGATTAAGTAAAAACTTAAGGAAATAATTAGACAAAATTCAAATATAATCTAACCATTTAAAAACTTATTGCAGGTAAACCTCGTGGTCTTCGTACAGCACGTAAACACGTTAACCATAGGCGTGATCAACGGTGGAATGACAAAGATTACAAGAAAGCTCACTTGGGAACTAGATGGAAGGCTAATCCGTTTGGTGGTGCTTCTCATGCCAAAGGCATTGTTTTAGAAAAAGTGTATGTTTACTATTTTTTTTTATTGTATATATTCTTCAATGATACATAAATACTAATTCCAACTGATTTTATCTCATAGCGGTGTAGAGGCCAAGCAGCCAAACTCTGCCATTCGCAAATGTGTTAGGGTACAACTTATCAAAAATGGTAAAAAAATCACAGCTTTCGTACCCAGAGATGGTTGTCTGAACAATATTGAAGAGAACGATGAAGTTTTGGTGGCAGGATTTGGTCGTAAAGGTCATGCAGTTGGTGACATTCCAGGAGTTAGATTTAAAGTTGTAAAAGTTGCTAATGTTTCTTTACTCGCACTTTACAAAGAAAAGAAAGAACGACCCAGATCTTAAAACTACTGTCATGTATTTCTAATTACATCTATAAAGACTTTTAAAGAAATATTAAGAATTTATTAATACCTTTACCAACAATCCAAGAAAAATAAAGTTCCTTTTAATTAGTCAAATAAAAATCAGTATAATTTACAAAGGTATAAAAAATACAAATATAAATTCAATATACAATATTTTATAATTAATATCAAAAACTATCTACATGTACATCCATAATTATTTCTGTTGAAATAAGAGTATTTTCAATAATTTCATTCAATGGTGTAACTACTTTTTCTATTCCTTCTGGTATGACGGTATTAGAAATTTCATCCACAGTTCCTAAAAACTAAAAGTAAAACTAATTTAATACAAAAAAATATATCAAAGAATTTATACTAAATATACAAAAACATAAATATCAAACCTGTGTCAAAGACGAGAAGTTTGAATATATGTCTTTAATCTCTGAATCCATACAATAAAGAGTATTTATACTTTTCTCTTTCGATATTGGCCAAGAGTTAATAGTTGAAAAAGCCTCCAAAAATTTTTCATATTCTGAATTAAACAATGAATCTTTATCATTCTCAGAATTCATTTTTTTCTTTTCCTGTAGTTATATAAAAATCGATATTCCATTTCATTATCTAAATTAGTGAAAATAATATAATACCAATACCTCTGATTTATTTTCTTTCACATTGTCTTCTTTCTCGCATTCAGAATTTAAACTCAGACTTTCAAATTCTTTCACAAATTTTTGTATGTTATTCAAGTACTCCAGAGATTCAAAATAATTTAGTTTTGGTTGAATAATAGACATCACTGAATCTGAACTTCCATTATTAAAGACCTAATATGTATTCAAAATAATGTTGTTTTTCTAAATATATAAAAATCAAGTCTTATAAATTGACTTATATACCTGTACTATGTCAGTAGTGGATTTTGTTGTTTTAATATGTTCATCATTGGCTGATTCAATATACATAAGCTTCATGAAATCTAATAATAACTTCAAAGTAGGAAGCTGTTCTTGAAATGTACAATGTCCCTATAGAAAAATATGTATCAATATTTTTCAATCTTAAAAATATAAAAGAATATAAACATATATACATACCAATAAAATATTCTTATTACCGCAAATCCCAATCTTAGAATAATATTCTAATAATTTTTCTACAAAAAAGAAATATCATTTTTAATATTTAAAATACTACAAACATGCTTTGTTTATTTAGTGATATCATAATTAAAAACCTTCTAAATCAGATCCCTTTAATTTTTGCAACACTGTTGCTATTTCTTGACTTTTTTCAATTAAAAGCCAAGATAATAAAGAGACACGATTTCCTCCTTCAAGAATTGTTATTTCAATATTTTCAACTGCTGCTGTTGTAATATTGGGATATCTTATTTGTACTAAAGTGTTATATATATCGCATAAAATTTCTTTCTTATCATTCATCATTAATATTGAAAGATTATTTAAAAATCACAATTTCTAATATTCTGTCAAATTTACCACAATTGATCACAGTTAAATTTTCAAATACCGACGCTAACTATGTAATTACAAGATACCACAAACGAAGTATAGGATAGACATTACAAGCTTATAGAACTTGGTGTTACATGTTCTGAATTATCGACTTTGTAAAAAATTAGAGGTTTTGTTCTGCCCTTTACACTTAGAAAACGATCAATAGGAAACCTACATCAAGCAAAATGATCAAAGTTGACTAAGTAGTAAATATGGTAAACCAGTATTTACATACGTATCCGTTGCAATGTTGTCATGTTTTCAAACTCTCAACGTTAGTACAACGAAGGTACTTCCTGTAAGTAGTTCAGTAGTTAACCGTGAGTCATTTTTGAGGGTGTCGATATTTCAGAACAGTAGACAGAAAAATACATTATATGCACAGTCTGTACGTATTTTAAGTCTGTGTTCAATATTTTTTTATTGTAATTCCTATCGCTTATAACTTTACCATGCAAAACTAGTCGAAGTCAATATGACAAGGCGTGACGCGAAAATGGTAAGAGGGTTCTAGGACGCCCGAGAGCATGTAACAAAATTTTAGATTGTATATTTTGTACATTAATCAGAAATGTCGAACTTCTCCTTAAGCTAGTGATTATCGATCAACAGTTCCCCTAGTAGGTATAAAAAGGGTAACTTTTCGTGAGGGGAGTTACTAGAAGCTCACAAGCATCGATTTAGACACCTTTGAATTAGAAACCACTGTTTTAGATAAATAAAGAGATAGTGCCGGGCAAATAAAAAAATACTACTTACAACATAAAAACAAAAATATAGAACTGCTTATACGCCTATATGCAATACATATTAGTAATTTATTTTTACAGTTTTCGTATGAAAGATGTGATCATATATTATCATCAATACTTTGTTGTAAGATTATAAGGTATATCGAAATATTTTTCAATTTTTATTTAAAAAAACTATACAAGATTCAGTTGTTATCATCTTTTTGTCAGTGTCAATGTAAAAATTACTATATGATCATAATTTTGTAAGATTGTGATTACAAATTTTATTTGTAATATATATTTAGAAGTGTATGATAGGAAATGATACAAAATTGTGTAGTTATAAATAATAACTTACATTATATAAATTAAATTAATTTATATTTTAAGTTATTATTTATAACTACATAATTCAAATAAAATGTACAAACTTATTAGAATAATTATGTTTTTGTTCAACAATGCAATTAGATCCATAGACTGTCTTTATATTCTTTGATTTCATTTGCACATTCTCGGTAATAAATTACTTCATTACTTAATAATGGTTCAAGTAATTCATTATAGATTACATATCTTTACAATCAGTATTTACAATTTGTAATGGCTTTCTTAACATTGGTTATAACAGACTTACTTGAATTCTTATAAAAATATCTTGATAATTAAGTTTTTCCATTGGAGGTTTCAAGTTTCCATCTTGACCTTAACATAAATAGCTTCTGCAACAAAGAGTAAATGTATAAACTCAATGGAGAATTATTAACTGAGACTGACAAACATTAGTAAATAAATAAATTCAAAACAATAACTTGGACCTTTTTCAATATTGTTTTCAGCCATCTATGGTTTCATTGAAAACACCTGAATTACCCAATTTCCTCTGTAAATTGTACTTATGAAAAATATTAATTATTATAAAATAATAATTAGAAAAAAAACTTACCTGATACATTCTATATAGAGGTATCTGAATTATTTGCCTAGGTGTCTTTACTCATAAATACCTCTCTCAGTCCCAACAACAATGTTCTTACATAAGGTGGTTTGGTTTCTGCACGTCTATTTAAAATTTCAAAAGCTTCAAAAGCTTCTCTTTTTTGTTGTTCTTCTTCCTCTTCTTCTTTTATTTGTTTTGATTCTTCAATGTACAGATATAGATCCTCTTCTTCTTCTTCAATTTTTTTATCTATACATTCTTTTTCATCCAAAGCATCTAGCAGAGATATATTATGCCGATTTTTAAATTTCCATAACCAACCACGACTCGCTTTAAATGTGGATGAACTTCCAGCATTCTGACTTATTTCAAGTGCTTTTTCTTGCAACAGAAGATTTGTAATCGGTATTCCCAGGGTTTTTGCTTCATAAATACAATTTTGTGTCTAAATCGTCGTATAGCGGCTTTCGAATCCTCTTCCGCTTTTGCATATCAATTTCTTGGCATACGGGGAGTCCCCTTTTTCGAATTTTTCGGACGGTACTGGGATGAATATTATACTCCCTAGCCAAATTACTTACAGAAACGCTACACTCTAGCTTTTCCAGAACCTCTACTCTCTGTTGTATCGAAAGTTGTGTTGACATAGTATTCTTCAAATTTTACACCGCGCTCAATTAACGAAACGTTCCCTATCGAAATTACCAGTTCACTACTAAAAATTCTCTCGGCATCATTTGTATTTCGTTTTATAAATGCGTGCAACACTTCAGTGATAAACATTTCTGCGGGAACGATTAGTACCGACAATGGTACAGCACACGCAATTCTATGAAATTAGTATTACATATGCACAATGCTTAAAAGAAAAGATCCTCGATGTGTCTGCTACTGATTTCTTGATTGACGGGCAAGACTCCCGCGAAACTTGTAATTGATTAGCACGATTCATAACATAGGACTTACAGGACAAAAAATTTTTACAAAAGCGAAATTTCAACACTTTTCCAAAACTATAGTTTCCAGTGCATTATAGAAATAAGCTTCGGTGTTTTTCAAGAACAAATTTCCAATACGCATGCGTATGGAAATTGTATTCTACAAATGTAAAGGTACACTTACATGTGACAGTAAATCATGACATTTGTTATCAGAATACTAGATACCATGACTTTTGCTATCATGAAAATTAAATTTCACATTGTCATTAAATTAGATCAGAAGTAACTGACTCCCCTCACGCTAGTAACTTGCAAACAATGTCCTCCCACTACCTCTACACTAGGAGCTGCCCGAGACTGCGTACGTATGCAGTTCTTTGCAGTTTCAATATGAACAGGTAGATACTTAGGTATGGAGAAGGTAACAATTTTCTATGAGGGGAAAAGCCCTAGAAAGCTCTAAAGCACCCAATTCGACACTCCTGTTATAGAAGGTTCATTTATTTCTGTCCTTGTCGTCTAATAACGTATTTACTGTCCGTTGTGCAATAAATTTTGGAAGGGAATACAAATCTAATTGGTCAGTTTTCATCTTTTATTTATCTCATTTTCAATACTACTTTGCAATTCGTCAATAGTTATTTACACGTAATCAATCAAAATTACAAACAGAACACATAATAAGAAACCCCTCTTGTCACTGTGTCATCACGGAATTCTTTTCATGTACAATGTACCGTAACTTAAAACTATTTAGTATTTACTTACTTGGTAATCTTAAAAGAAAGAATAGCGATGAGTGTTAACCAATGAGGACGAAGAATAAATAGCCTCCACGATTTCGTAGTTACCGGAGCAAAAGTGTATATTTTATTTATTTTATTTTGTACATTAAATAACATTTACATGAGTATACAGTATTACATGTTTACGTAAATGGAAATGTATTTTATATTTTTAATAATTAATTGTTAATAAGAAAACAATGTATTTTAATTATCTGTAATTAATTTACGATGTAAGTAGGTATTTATTAAATTGAAAGTATATACAGTATTTCTTTTATAAATATAGTTGAAAGGAGTTGTATTAAAAATATTGCCAAATAATTTCGTGTATTGAATGCATATTGGAATAAAAATTCAAGATTGGATTGTATGTGACTTGAGGAATAAATTACCAGTTCATAATAATTAACAAGGAATGAGTTAATGTTTTAATTTTTTTGATTATATGCAAATATTCGTAAAAAAAATTGACATGTTATTTATGTTCTCCATTTAAAAATTCATTCTTTAATAATGTATTACTATCTGTTTGTATATATTAGGATTTCTATTTCATCAGTATCAATTCCACTTATAATATAAAGTAATTTTGTGAAATCAACGATCGTCTTTTTTTGTGGTTTTCATCATCAAATGATATCATCAAATTATCAGTGATATGGCTGTCAAACCGTTATTACATTTAGGTGATGCATGTAAATGGTAGGCATGTTTTTGTGCTACAAAATAAAATCTCATAAAACAATGTATCAGATTAAATAATTACAATTCTGTTAAATATTTCTAGCATTTTCACGACAGTGCAACTTAAACCTAAGTTGCATGCAACAACAATTTATAAACAAATTAGACATTTTAGACGATTTAGAGACAAAGAGGAAGGATTAGAAATATCTTTATTAAATAAACATGTCAAAAAGAACAATGTCCCTCTTTCAAAAATGTGGAAACCCTTTGTCTTTACAATTATGGTGAGTAGTGAAGAAGTTAATTTCATTATGTAAAAATAAATAGAAGTATTAATTTCACGAATATTGAAATAATATGAATGTATGTTATTTTTCTTGTGTTGTAAGTTTTACCGTTTTCATCATGTCAGTTTAGTGGAACAACGTTCATTGCTGCTACTATTTGGAACCATGAGAATCAAAGAAAAACCTACAGTATACAGGAATATTATACACAACTCAGACAGCAAGTTTGTATAATAAAAGATATACACATGATAATATTTATTATGCATTATTAAAGTATTAGTTATGTTTAGAAAACAAGATGGAGGCGTGATATGGAAGATTGGTGGAAAGACTTAACAGAAGGCGAGAGAATATTTGCTCCTATATGTTTTTTAAACGGCATAGTATTTCTTGCATGGCGCATCCCAAAATTTCAGAAAACAATGATGCAATATTTTTCTTCCAATCCTACATCTGGTAAGTGGCTCATGTACTTGTAGGGTAATGGCACCTAATATGAAACACCTGATTTGCAAAGCTTGTCAAAACAAGAGATATGCATTTTTTTCAATGAAATCTGCATCAGAACACAAAGGAATTAATAAACATTCATACACTATTTGCTAACAATGCAAAAATTTATATGCCTTCAAACCATGGTGAGAAATCTAAGCCAAGTTAAAAACAGCGATCTAAAAACATGGATCCTAATATGGAACACCTACATAATTTGTAAACAAAACTCATTTTCATCATGAGAAATGAAAAAGGATAAATAAAGAATTTAGAATTAGAGGAAGAAGAATTTAGAATCTAGAATAGAGAAGAAGTATTACCAAATACAATAACGTTTTGCATTCAATGACAAATTCTTAATTGATATCCAGCTACTAATATGATTGTTTTCCATTACTGATGAAGTATTTCCCATGGTAACTGACACATCAAGCTATTTATTTTCCAAAATATTATGGTGTTCCATATTAGGTGCCTTTATCCTATATTACAAACATGGTGTACAACATAGTTAAAGAAATATATTAAATTTCCACATTTTGATAAAGGTGCAATATGTTGGTCGATGTTGCTGTCTTCATTTTCCCATCACTCTTTTTTGCATTTAGCTGTTAATATGTATGTATTACATAGCTTTATTTCTTTGGCTGTATCATCATTGGGTAAAGAACAGTTTACAGCACTTTATTTAACTAGTGCAGTTGTGTCCAGTTTTATGAGTAACTTGTGCAAAACAGCATTTGGTGTATGTAGTCCTTCCTTGGGAGCTGTGAGTATATGTTTTATAGTTAACATAAATCAACATTTCTTTTTATAATGTTTTCTTATTTATAATACAGTCTGGAGCAATAATGGGTATTCTTGGATTTACATGTACAGAGTTTCCAAATATTTATATCTCTATTATATTTCTTCCAATGTACACATTTGCAGCTGGCACGGTATGATAATATTTTTAATTTTATGGCATAAAATTGAATGTATTATTAATTATTATCCTTTTCAAATGCAAATATCTTTAAATAGGCAATTAAATTTTTAATGGGAGTGGATCTCTTGGGAATTCTGTGTCGTTGGCAAATTTTCGACCATGCAGCTCATTTGGGTGGAGTGTTATTTGGCATGTAAGTGTATTTGTAAAAGAATTTTGTTTATTTTTATTTACATATATTTCTACATTTATTATAGATTCTGGCAAGCATGGGGTTATGAAAATATATGGCAAAAACGTGAGCCAATATTTAAAATTTGGCATGAGATTCGTGATTCATTTAAGTCACGTTGATATCTTTTTGTAAAAAAAATATATATATATATATATATATATAGTGTGTTATTAAGAAGAACTGCACAGAGGGAAAAAATAAAATTGGAGAAATAATGTTTTTATATCTAAATTTTCTTATACTATTGTGAAAGATAAATTAGGAAATCTTGCATCCTTATTACCACACTTTTTTTTTGTAATTATGTAAAAATACAGTAATAAAAAATTACACGCGCATGGTTAATAAAATTAAGCTTTAAGAAACTTTACATGATGCTTAATATGATCTTCAATAAATGTTGTTATAAAAAAGTAACTATGATCATAACCTTCATGAAACCTAAGAACTAATGATATGGCAACATCTTTCACATCTGCTAGTAAATTGTTCGGCAGTAATTGTCCATTCTTTAAAAATGCATCTTCCTTTCCCTGAAATTACAAGGTATTATATTATATTTATTGTAATATTTACATCATTATCACTCAATAGTACCTGATCAATTAAAATCTCCAAAGGAGGTCCATTATACTTTTTGGCCAATTCTGTAGCATCCCAATCTTTCCATACAGGATTGTTTTCTGGTCCACCAAAATATCCGGAGAAAGCTTTTTTACCCCATGGACATAAAATTGGATTACTTATGGGTGCGAAAGCAGAAACTGCTTTGTATAACCCAGGATTTTTTAAAGCACATATTAAAGCTCCATGTCCTCCCATACTATCAACAAAACAGTTGAATTTCCAATTTCTTCCAATAAAAAGATTCTACATAAATAGTTTTATTGTTTGTTACCTGTGGCCCATTATTGATTGCTTATTTGGTAAAACTGGGAATTTTTCATTAATTAATGCTGGTAATTCCTTTGTAATGTAGCTATACATTCTATAATTTTTATTCCAAGGTTCTTTAGTTGCATCAACATAGAAACCAGCACCAGTTCCAAAATCCCAATCATCATTCTCACCTGGTATATTAAGCTCACGGGGACTTGTATCAGGGGCAACCAAAATAACTCCATGTTCAGAAGCATATTTTTGTGCACCAGCTTTTTGTATAAAATTGCTTTCGGTACAAGTTAAACCAGATAACCAATAGATAACTGATACAGGTCCCTCCTCAGTTTGAGGAGGAAGAAAAATTCCAAAATTCATTTTACATCCCAGTTCGGAACTGTATTATAAAAACTTACTTTAATAATCTTTCCTTTTTTTTAATAACTGTATAAATATACCTTTCATGACAGTAGACTTTTTGGTATCCTCCAAATATCTTATTACTTGTAATTTCAGTTATGTCAGGCATCTAAAAAAAAATGTTTTGTACATTTGATAATTTACACAATAATTATTTGTATAAATCATTTTAGCGACTATTACAGTATTGATTTTGTTAGATAGTAAGGTTAATTACCGGTATCAAGGGTAAAATCGTGGTTAATACTAGATTATCTTGACAATAAGCAACGAAGTAAAATAAAAAATATTTAGAAGAATTTTATAGTTTCTATTAATTACCGTTTTGCTTTAAAATTAATTTAGTAATACATTAAAAAGTTAAATGAAAAAGTTGTTTTTAATAACATACCGTGTATCGAATAGAATTATGTATCCGAATCGTAACACGTATTGTAGATACAGATTACTAAGGATTGATAGTGCGTTACACAACAAAATGAAAATAGTTGCTATGTGTTATCAATTAAATTGATAACAGTTATAAGAAAAAAATTGTTATTTATGCAAGTTCTGTATTAGTAAATTACTCATTGAGACCTTTGATCAGAGGAGTGATTCATAACCTTAAAACAAATAAAAAAAATTGTAATAAGAATTGAATTAGTATTGTTTGAATTGATTAAATAATAAAAGTAATTCTGTTAAATTCTAAATGATTTTCTTGATACAGGTTTTCTGTCCTCTTTTATATTTTTGATAAAGATATAACAGTAAAAACATATAAATACATAATGGTATGAAAATTATGTTGATTTTTTTGTAAAATCTATGTGTGAAGATTTCATAGGTTGTTGCTTATGCTTTGTATTCCTTTTAGATGATGTCTTTGTTGAAATTGCTGAAATAATTTTCTTATTAATAAATCATGTAATTAAATAATGATAAATTGTTTATTTTTTAACATACTTTGAAATTCAGGCACAATATTGACAATTGTTCCGATACTTTCTCTAGATGATGAAATAATGCTTCCACGATTTGTATTCTTCTGTACATATTCTACTGAATTTGTAGAATTATGTGAGTGACTAGACATTGGCGATTGTATAGTTAATGGAACAGATGGTAATTCTATATTTTTAGCAGCCAGAAGTTTTTTAATATATGCTTCAGCTTCTACATGATGAATTGTAAATTCTGCAATATCTTGCAAAATAATAGAATTTTGTTCTTGTAGCTCACGTAGTTCCACTTCTTTCTGTATGAAAAGAAAGGCATTATTTTTAAATAAACTTATTGATAATGAATACCTGTTATAATTTTTATAGTATGTACCTCTTGTATAAGCACTGTTTTATCCCCAGTAATAATACTCTTTTGTAGAATAGCTTTTTGTGCATTCCTTAAACTTTTGTCAGCTCTTAATATTTTTTCTTCTTGGTCATGAATCTGTTGTCTTAATTCGATCAAATATTGATTTTTATTTTCTTTCTGTTCTTGAATTTCATCGATATGTTTTAAGTCTTGAACATACTCATTTTGCATTTTCTGTTGAAATCATTTTAGTGTAAAAATTTAGTTAATTTGTTATTTAGAATAGTATAGTATATAATACTATAAGATACCTGTAAATTGTCAGTTAAGCATTGTAGTTCCATTTTTTTTTGCTTTAAGTTTTGTTCTGTAGTTTGCAATTCTGCATCTAATTTTCTATGCTCCTCTAGTTCACGTGTATTTCTTTCATCTGTCAAAGTTGTCAATTTATACTTATCATTACAAACATTTATTACTCGTAATGTATTTTCCATGGCCTGTATTTCAAGTTCAGTTTTTGTTATAGTTTCATCTAATTGATCACCTTGCTCTTGTAAAAGATATTTTTCTTGTGCATTCTGAATTTTCAATTGAGTAGTATTTACTGGAGTACCATCAGGATTAGTTCCTAACATAGCTATGCCATTATCGTACCTTGATTGTAATTGTTTTATTCGTATTTTTCGTTCAGCTATAGCATTTCTTAGTTCTGAACATTCACCAGTAACAACCCTCTTTTGAATAATAAGTGATTCTTTTTGTACAGCTATTTCTGCCTTGCGTTCTTTTACTGCCTAAATAATTACAATTACTTTTATAGTAGATTGTCTGTTATTTATGTAAGTATTATTATTACATTATACTAAAAACTTACTGCTTCTAATTCTAGCTGATATCTTTCCAAGTCATAAACATTATTTCCAATAGTAGATATCATCTTTTCCACTTGTGATACTTTAAGTTGTAAAACACTTTCTTCTACTTGTTTCTCTTCATAAGAATTTTGAGCAGCTTTCAATCGTTTTTCTCCTGCATCCATCAGAAGAATTAGATCTTGCCGTTTATTTCGCAAATAATCTAATTCTTTATTGTCACTTGTGAGACTATTGGACATTTTTCTCATATCATGCTACATAATGAAACATCATTTAAGTTTTCCGCATTACTGAATAAATTACTTAAAATCAATATACCTCCAAGCTTGAGATTTGACTTTGTAATAGTTTTGATATTTTTATCTTTTCATTTAATGTGCTCTGCAATTCCTCAATTTTCTTTTGTTTCCTTTCTGCTTCAGACTTATCCAATTCATGGCCCCTTAGTCTATCTAACTTCATTTCAGACTTTTGCAATTCAAATTCTACTTGATATAATGTTTCCTTCTGTTCTTCCAAAATTTTTTCATCTTTAGTATATAATTTATTCAAATATTCAAACTTCTTACATTCATTCTGATATTGCATACTAGTGATTTTATTTTCATCTTCTAGTTTTTTGATTTGATTTGTAACACGCAAATTGGCGTTTTGTAGGCGATTCACTTCTTTAATCATTGTAACTTTCTTTTTTTCTTGTTCCTATATCATTTTAATTTATTATGTACATGTATTAATTTCTTAGTATAAACTTTTAACTTCACTCGAATAAATACCTGAATCATATTTTCTAGTTCTTTTGCTTTTTCTTTAATATTTAATTGTTCATTGTCAATATTTTGCAGCTTTGTAGACAATTCAACAACTTGTTCATTTAATTTCTCTATTTTGGCATATTTATTTTGAATCTCTGCTTCTTTGCGTTTTATATTAGCCTGCACTTGTTCTACACGGTGGGTGCATTCTTTTATAATATTCTTTTCTATAATAAGCTAAAATTTAAAAGAAAAAAGCTTCAAAGATTTTGCTGCAAAGATAATATTCTTTCCATTTACTCCCTTACTTGGTTGTCGTATGTATTGAGCATTTCCTTTGCTCTTTGTTGTTCTTCCCTTATATTGCAAAGATTTTTCTCCAGTTTTTTAATTGACTCTTCAACCTGTCTATTATTCTCACTTTGTTCTTTCAAAAATTTTTCTGATTCCATAAGTGTATTTCTCTTATTCTCCATGATCTCGTGGAACGTTTCAGTGTCCTGTTTAAAATAACATGCAATTATTTAAATATTGTTTAACTGAATACATATTTTTCAAAATTATTTATTTAATTGTACTTTAAGAACACGTTGAATATCGTTGTTTCGTTGTTGTAACATGATTACACTTTCTTTCCATTGATTGAACATTTGTCGATAGTCTGTTAACGCTTGGTTGTATAATTTGCTTGTTCGATCAAGAACAATTTCGGTCTCTTGTTCTTCATTAGTTATTTTAATAATTGCCTCGTGATACGATTGCAAATCTTTACTCAGTTTTTGCCTTTTCAATTCCAATTCCTGTTCAATAAGAAATGAAGCATTAAATATTTTACAGAGTATGGAATTTGATTATTCTACATTGTTATTCATATAGATAGGTACCTTGTATTCTTTTAAATCTTCTTTTAGGTATTGTTCTATCAATTGATTATTATCCTCGTTCTGATTTAACGCATCTTCCCATTCTCTCAGACTTTCCTCATCGTATTTTACCGTGTTCTTCGACGTTTCAATTTTCTTCGTCATTTTTTCAACTTCCCTTTTAAGGTTTCCTACTGTTCCATTTATTTTGTTCCATTCCTTTTCAAAATTTCGCGCTTCTTGTCGCAAACTTGATTCGGTGCTACAGCTCAATCGGTAATGGTGATTTTCGGTTTCAAGTTGTACTGAGTGTGTATTCAAAAGCTTCTGATTCATATCTTGCTCTACTTTTAAATTGCTTAGGCGATTTTTCATCATTTTAAGTTTTTCCTCAGCAGATTCAAGTTTCACATTTAAATTCTCTTTCAATTTCATTTTTTTTTCGATCTTCCCGCATAAACAAATTTAATAAATTAATTTGCGTAATCATTTTTTTAAAGAGTAATACTACTGAGCATTTAATTGAACAGAGCATATTATATAATTTTAATACAATTTTTTTATTACTTTACGCGTACTACTGTGTAACAATCAAATTGTAAGAATCTAAAAATTTCCATTTTAATAAATTATGTAACAAAAATAAAAATGAATGTTATATTTATTTTATGCATTGAAAGATTTAATTATATTAAATACAAAACAGAATTTTCGTTCAAGTGTATGAAAATATTTGTTTTGTATAAATTTCATACTTTTATGTATATTGGGAGTACATATGAGCCACAGTCTAATAATAATGCGTAACAAGAAGAAAGAAACAAAAGCGTGCGAACAAATTGTGAAGGAACAAAACTAATCTACACTAAATAAATGGAAGCGATATAATGTAATCAAACCGCATACTTCTTCTTCTAATTGTTTGTTCTCCGCGTTTGCAACTGGAATTCGAAATCCATCTTTCCAACCTAAAATGCTCAGAACTGAATCTATATTATTATTTATCGCCATCTCCATCTCTTGTTTATCTGTTAAACAACTTTGAGAGATAAAATCGGCATGTAGAGCCAAAGATTTAACATTTAGAGGAAACGTTTGTAATTCGCCGTCATAGCAACCATACGCATCGACATCAAGCATGTATAACGCTTCAACCTTTTTTTATTTTATTTTTCTTTCGTTTAATTTTATTTTTATTCACTTTTTGAGCCATTTTTTTCATTCGATTTATGCATGGGGTAGTTCATGAAATAACATTTATTACTAAGATATTAATTATTATAAATAAATTTATAAATAAACTCGTTCTTGTAAGTTCTTTTGAAGCATTTTATAGGGGAAACACTTTTAGGGTAAAAGAAGTTATTCGTTCAAATGTGTACTCCAAAATAGATATTTGTAAGCTTAATTTTGTCCAAGGAATTGTTTGATCTTATTTGAATCATAAACATGACAAAAATTCTTTTTTTCCTATTTCTCTATATTAAATATTTTTTAAGATATTTAGTATTTATTTTATATTAATTGTTTTATATATTTTCTGTTGAAACAGAGCAGTGATTTTATTAACATTGATAACGTTGCTTAAACTGAATGCACTGAGTTAGTAGATAACTAGATGCAGTGAAAACGTGTTCGTTATGTTTGACGTGAGACAAGAGTAGAAAAATATTGGATAACAATGGCGGACGAGAAACTACCAGCGGGTTGGGAAAAACGCTTGAGTAGATCTACCGGTAAGTCAATTTATTAGTAATAATCGATAAAGTATACATAAATGTATTTTCTGTAAAATATTTATCTTATTTGTAATTAATTTGTTCAATAAGTTATATCTTTCCACTTTAAAGACGGTAGTGGGAAGTATACAGCCGGCATTTTTTTGCACAATAGTGTATTTGTTAAATTGAGAATAAAGTTCTAAAGAAATCACAGTTTTAAAATTATTGTATTCTGAGCTACGTTAACGTTTCACAAATTCTTATACAGCGTTTTATTACTAGATATTTCATATAGGTTTGGCCCTGTACATTATCTACTTTAACATAAAATATTTCATTCACAGGGCAACATTATTATTTAAATATTTATACTAAAGAAAGTCAGTGGGACAGGCCAGATAAACCTGCTGATCCATCTGGAAGTAATAAAGGAGATGGCCCAGAAGAAGTTCAATGTTCTCATTTGTTAGTAAAACATTCAGGTTCCCGAAGACCGTCTTCTTGGCGAGAAGAAAATATCACACGATCAAAAGAAGAAGCTTTGGAGCTTATTAAATGTAAGTTGCTAACACAGTTAGGTTCGTATTATAATTTATATTTTAAATTTTAGTAAATTTTACTTGTATTTTACAAATTAATATAATTGAATTTGTAAACTTAGCTTACAGAGAACAAATAGTGTCCGGGAAAGCAACATTTGTGGAACTAGCTTCAAATTATAGTGATTGTAGTTCTGCTAAGCGAGGTGGGGATTTGGGACCATTTAGTCGAGGGACTATGCAAAAGCCATTTGAACAAGCAGCATTTGCCCTTAAAGTTGGCGAACTGTCATCTCCTGTTCATACAGACAGTGGTATTCATATTATCCAGCGAACAGCATAAAGAAGATTAATTTCTAATAAAGTATTCAATCTCTTAAACCAATTGCCTCAGTTTTGCTGATAATATATGTTTGACTAAAGGGTCAAATTTGGATACCTCTATTAAGAATCAAGTACATTTACTCGTACAATGAAAGAACTTTTTCTGTGTGAACGATACATATGCAAACAACATTCTGATACTTCAGCGTTGAGTTATGTATTTGTGTCTTCCAGTCATCCAAGCAGACATGACTTATTACAGATTATGAATTAATTAATATTTCCTTCAAGATGAAAAAGAAACCAAGTAAAAGCAGTGTCCAAAAAGTTAAGTCAGATAAAATAGACAAGATATGCATGCTTCATCAGAATTCTCTATTTTTATCTGCTGCCCTTACATTCCTTAAGTATTAGATTAATTTAATTGACTTAACATGTCAATTCAGCTGTCTCTAGAAAAGAATTCATATAATCCCTGTATTAGAAGGAAAAATAAATCATTGAATTAAGATTATCAAATGCAAAACCATTTAATTAATAAAATATATACATATGTACAAATATTTACTATTATGAAGTTGTTGCTCAACTACTGGCAGATATTTGTGTTATTTTACCATTACGTTCATGACTTGTTTTACAGCCGAAAATATTACTTTATAGACTTGATGAAGGAGATATTATGTGATTTTTACTTATACTTTGCTATTGTTAGTTCGTATATAAACATGCATGAAATGAGACCCATTTCTATTATGCATCTTTCATCCTGTTTTAAGCCTCCCTTAAATTTAAATGAGATTTTGTTTCAAACAAAATACAATACAAAACCCAATGATTATAATTGACTGAAACAATTTCCATTTTTCTAGTCTATTACCTGTATTCAACAATTATTGATTGTGTTTCTAGAGACTGTGAACATTTGTGCAACACATTCTACTTACTATACTTACTTATGTGTTATAATTGTATTAAATATTTCTTATGATCTAGCTTGTGATGAATACAATTTAATCAGTGTATATGTACTGGTGAAGTAATTTGTTCCTCAAAAAAAAAGGAGAAAT